TCTGGAAAAGGTTGAAAAGATGGAGGCTGACCTTGGAGGAACAGAGATTCTTCAGCCTCTCAAACACATTTACAGCCAAGCCTGCATTCCCAAACATCCTCGGCAGGTCAGCTGATATTGCACCAAACCTGTTTTATCAGGTTTGGTGGGCGTCTTTGTAATCTTGCATAAACACTGTGGTTGTTCGGAACAACTCCTTGTGTTCCACAACTTGTGAAATGTTCAACAAACTGGTTGGTCTTATTTGTCACCTTTTGTTGCTCTTCATCCATGTTAACACCACTTGTGTTGTGTTACTAAAACATCAGAGATAGACTCCTCTCAGACAGATTCTACACAGGACTTTCAGCTCCTGTTTGGTTCTGACACGTTTGGTGTTTTCTCCTCTCTCAGGTGTTTGTCTTCACTGACGGAGAGGTGGGAAACACCAAAGAAGTTACTGATCTTGTTAAGAAGAATGCAGGCTCCCACAGGTGAAACCATAAACACACAGATTCCCAGTCTGGTTCATGTTCTGATGCTATTGTGAATTTGAAATCAAACTCTTGTATCGTAGGTGTTTCTCTTTTGGGATTGGAGAAGGAGCCAGCTCTGCTCTCATCTATGGGATGGCCAAAGAGGGCGGAGGTCACGCTCAGTTCATCACAGGGGCTGACAGGATGCAACCAAAAGTAAAAACAACAACACAAAAAGCTGTAAAAACTGCACCAACACATGAAAATGTGATTATAGTAAAAGTAAATAATTTTACAACTATTGTTTAAATCACAGGTGATGCAGTCACTCAGGTTTGCACTGCAGCCAGCTGTGGAGGACATTTCTGTCTCCTGGGGTTTACCAAAGGGAGTGTCTGCCACCGTTCTCTCTGCACCCATTACAGCTATTTTTCAGGGTCAGAGGTCACTGATTTATGCTCAGCTTACAGGACAGGTAGGGTCACCAGCATCTCACTTTGTGTTTTCTGTATCAAAGCATTTAGCATGACATATTGCTATATTTTTATCTATTTTTGTATTTTTTTATGTCTCAGAGTTCAGAGGAAGCAGTTTGCAGTGTGACAGTGAAGTACAGCCTGGCAGGTCATCCCTCTCAGAACCAGCTGCACTTCAAACTAAAACCTGCAGAGGACTCTGGGTAAACGCCTTATATCCTGGTTTGACAGTATTGGCAAGACATATCACAGTGTTGTTGAAATGAGGTAGTATTTTGAAAATGTCAAGGATCTCTGACACTGAAATATAAAATAATCATCCAGTCATAGTTGTTATATAACTGTTTCTTAAGAGGCAGAGTACAATATGGACAAGTTGGTAGGACATCATGCAGCAACACAGAGACGCTCATAGCCAAGGGTAATTTAAAGACACCAGTCAACCTAAATGTAAACTTTTTTACTGTGGAAGGAAGAAGAAATACCAGGAAAAAACTCACCTTGTTGCTGCAAGGTGAAATTACAAACAACTGTGTCGCTGTTTTTGTAGCTCCTAATTTGACGTAATAAACATGTTATTTCTATTTTCCCTTTCTATAAAACTGTATATTTTTTTAGATTTAAGGTAAGATGTGGACATTTTATTTTATCTTGGAATCAAAAGCAAAGCAAGAGGACATATTGAGAGGTCACCTCGGTACTCAAGTTTAAAATACACAAAGGATCAGATTAGTGATATTAACAGAAACTGAATTTGATTTAATTTTAAGAAATGTGGAAACATTATCTTCCTTCACCTGCTACCATAAATGTTGCTGACTGAATTGTTGATGAATAGTAAACAAAGGTAAAAAAGATTGACATTCCTCCTCAATGAATGAAAAAGTAGTTTATTTTACCTTTGGGACATAAGAAAAGTAAAGGAGCATGATGAGAGGAAAAGGTTGAAACTGAGAAAGGAGGCAGTTTGTGTTCATAAAACATTTGATCTCCTTCAAATGTTAGATGTTGGATGTTTCTCCTTCCTGTCTCAGATTAACAGTCCACAGGCTGGCTGCTCGCACTGTGATTCGCTCGCTGGAGTCAGAGGAGAGGACACGAAGAGGACAGCAGGATGAAGAAGTGAAGAAGAAGGTGGTGGAGCTCAGCGTCCAATCAGGAGTAAGCAGCTGTTTCACTGCCTTCATTGCTGTCAACAAAGACAGCGGCAAGGCAGTTCAAGGACCGCTGGTGCGCAGAAATGTCCCGACAGGTGAGTGATTTATTTTATTTATTTTTTCAATCAGTGGATTGACATTTGTTGATGTTCATATGTAATTTATATGATGATGTAAGCTATTGATAAAATTAACACCTTTGGTCTCTCTTGAAATGTCTTTGTTTTGCTTGGTTAAATGTAATTAATTAATTTAAACAAGCTACAATTTAAATGACTGCAGCTTAATATCTTTCCAGTGTCCAATTAAATGGATGGTTATAGTATGCTATTCCCAATAAAGAATGAATTGTTTTATTTAATTTTGGTTTAATTATCACTGTTAGAGCTCTTTGAAGGGACAGGTTTCCAGACATATTTGCTTTTTCTGTTGAAAATAATGTATCTACCATAATGAGAAAAGCTAAAACATATATTTTATGCACTACAAGATGTCTAGAGTGCTTAGAAATAGACATTGTATGAGAACCATATTTAATAGTTACGATGACATATTCTCAAACTAGGACTATAGAATTGCAAATTAAATTTTAATAGTTGTAACTGTGGTTAACCTTTATTGAAAATGTTGATTCTAACTTGGTGTGAAGCATCTTCACTTATAAACTATCCCTCTAAAAATACTTTGTCATTTTAAGCAAACTTTGAAAACTTTGAGAAGTAGATGGTAGCATCTTTTATCAATCAAACAGAAACAGGAGAGAGTTTTTGAAAGATTTGTTTCACCGCTACATCTGTTTTGATTAAATTATTCAGTCTCCGTATCAGACCAGATTGTTACTCTGTCTGTCTGGCTGGCTGGCGAGAGATTCAAACCTTGACTTTTTAATTTCTATCTTTTTTTATGTTATTTTTATCCTGTTTTAATTATTTTTTACATGGACCTGTGTCTTTAATCAAGGTGATGATGTTGATGAATATCTTTTTTTTTTCCCAGATTGGCAACTTTTAATTTAATATCGCTTGTTTTTTTTACTCCTTTTCTGTGTTAGTGATGGCTAAGGGTTGTCCAGCTCCACGAAGAGGAGTTTGTAAGTAAATGCTTCAAAAACGAAATAAAACTACAATAAATAACACAAGATTATTAATTATATGGATGGTGATGGCTCTTACTTATAAAGGATGAATAGTTTTGTTTTATTGTGATTTAGTTCTTTGAGATATTTTGGAAGAGTTCATTCAATGTAGGTTTTACTCTGTATTTTTTTCTCCTTTTCTGCTTTTGCGATGATTGTTCCTTATCCACGTCCACCAGGCTGTTGTAAGTAAAACTACAAAATTAATTACATTACCCAAAAAAAAACCTCAATGTCAAATTATCATTCTCCTACTGCTTCCTGTTGTCTTCTTTTCTTTTCTGCCAGTAGTAACAGACACCTGTTGATTATGTGACTGGTGTGATGCAAAAAAGTATTTCCATCTATTTCAATGCGACCAAAAAACTCATTGTTGAAAAATGTTTTATTTTCTCCAAATTGATGTTTCCATGAAGTAAATTTATCTCTGTATTTTCAGTTAGTGCAGTTCTGTGCTTGTGAGAAGAGATTCGCCAATATAGATTTAGGAAGATTTACATCTTATCTGTTGAAAATAAATCACATTGTCTCTGGACTTAAACCGCAATGTAGAATAATATTTTAAGGATGAAACTATGATGAGATTTTCTCAAACTAGAATTTTCAATTTGTTTGAAATGAAATTTGCTTAATTTTATAAACTTAAACTTTTTAATTTAAGAGAATTTGGGGCCTAACCTAAAAATCTCAGCAACTTTAATTTCCTGATTGATTAAATGTCAGTAAAATCCTCTCTTGTCTTTGAAATGGTGGCTTGCAAACATATTAATACTCCACAAACTTGTCCATATTTTGTCACATTACAACCACAAACATAAATATTTTTGTTGTAATTTAATATGAAAATTGGACACAAAGTAGTTATAGAATTGTGAAGTGGAATGGGTATGAATACTTTTGCAAACCACTGTATGTAAAACCAGTTTTAAAAAAATGTGTTTTTGATAAATGAGTTCACTAAAACAAAACAAGGTACATGCAGAGAAGAAGCTCAGTGACAGTTTATCAGCATACAATTATTTGATTTTTTGTCTTGAGACAGGAATGGTCCCAAAATAATTAAATGTAAGGATGGAAATGTAACAAAGAATTAGTCCAGCATTTTAAAGATTAACAAACAACTATTATTTATTTTAATAACACCTCTGGTACTTGTTTTTTTTAAATTTTTTTTTTCTTCCCCTTTTTTCTTTTGTTAGTTGTGTGTGTGGGTTCAGCTCCACCAGTTGATTGTAAGTAAAAGAAAACAAACAAGAAAAAAGTCATTTGATTGCTGCAAAGGAATCTGTTTGGTTAAATACAGACATGTCTGAATATGTCTTGTTTTTTTTAGTTTGTAGATGTACGAGGGCCGTTTACATAATTTTTGTCAGGGTGACATCACATCTATGCTCTCTTTGTTTTTTCTTTTCTCTTTTTTAGTCCAGAGTATGGATTGCTCACCTCCAAGACGTAAGTAAAGCCCAAAACAAATGATCACTGCAATTTCTTGGAGTACTCTGAACCAATATCAGATATTCTAGTTGTACAGCATATTAATTACATGAATGGTGATAGTATGATATTCCCTTTAAAGAAAGAGAATAATTTTACTTTTTAGATATTTTGCTTTTTATTGGGATTTAATTTTCATTGTGAAATCTTTGAAAGAGATCCATCAGTATAGATTTCAGAGTATTTACATTTTATATGTTAAAAATGGTACAATAATTTTTTGTTGGTTTTGCAAAAACCAACAAAGAATTATTGTAATATTTGTCAGTATATATCCGTTCTTTGCTAAATTAATGCTATATTTCCTTTCTGCTCTCTGGTTAGGTTCAGACACGATGTTAGGTATGAAATTGCGTGAAATAGAAAGACAAATCTTTAAGTACTCCATACTTTATGTGTATGAGATACCATTTTTGTGCATAATCTAAATGTGGTCATATGTTTATAGGAACTTTGCATTTTTAAAAGTAAGTAACTGATCTGAAGGTCAAGTGAAATCAGATCTTAGTTTAATGATTCAGATGCAAACACATCCATCATCTACAGAACACATTAAGACATGAGCCTTTTCACAGACTGTTTTTGTTTTATTTTAGCTTGTTTCTGAATAATTCTCACTAAATTTACATTTGTTTTGTCTTATGTTTCTGAAATCATTCACCAAGTATAAGGATTTGTGTATATTGGATTTTTATTCAGCCATTTTGAACACATGGTAGTTCCAGGTCTTACTAAAGCCACAGTTAGATTGTCTGAAGTTGTTGTTGTGATTCTGATGTGTTTTCAATTGTCTGTTTTAGCTCCAAAGAAGAAAAAAGGTGGAATATTCTCTAGTAAGTAAAACAATGAATGATTTACAAGCACAACATCATTAAACAGTTCTCCATCTATTATGGGTTATTAGAAACTGACAATGACATCATTTGGTCTTACTGTTTATTTAAATGGACTAACCTTAAAATTAGGAACATGTTAAATATATTGTTGAATGGTTTTGTCATTTAAAATGTTAGTAATCTGCAGCAGAAACTGACCATTAGATGGCGCTGTGTTTTCAAACACTGAGTCAGAAATATCCTCTTAGTCAATATGGGCTCCAGCATCTGACAGGCATTGCTAAGCAAAACAACATCCAAGCCCTGAAACTACTGATGAATAAAACTGCAGCAGTTAAAATTTTAATGAAATAAATAAAAAATGTTGTTAATTAAATGATTTTTTGATTGTTGACTGTCTTAAGTGTTTCTTAATGAATGTCGGTCAAATTTCAAGTTTTATTTTCAGAATTTCAGAAACAGAGAATCGAGTGAAAATACTACAATTCCTTAATGGATGATACATTTATGGAGTACATTTATAAATTCACCAGCCTTCAAAGAAAGTGGAAAATATCCTGAGAAAGATTGGCTAATTTCAAGAAAAATTAAAAGCTTCATTAATGACAATCTGTTTGCAGAACCTCTGTATATTGTTGTTGTGAAAGAGTGATACTGCTGTCAGATTGTCATGATTATATGGCTGGCACTAATTTTCAGGAAAGACGCCTCCTGTTAATCCTCCCACAGTAGACAAAGAAAACTTGTAAAACTGTACTAACTTGTAAAAGTGGAGCTTGTAAAAGCTCTGTACTTTTTACCACATTTTAGAACATGGGAGGGTTAAATGATGCATTATTCAATTACACATGCAGAAACATTTACTTGTACCATAATGATGGACGACGTTCCTCAGTAATGCTAAGTTTCTTTTTTTTCTAGGGATCCATAGTAAAGAGATGTCCTGTAGGAGCAACGCTGCAGAAGCCATTGATTGTAAGTAGTATTTATGAATGCAGTGGATTATTGAAACTCACCTCATGTACCCACTTATCAAGCTCTTTTCACTTCACAGCTGATGATGATTTAGATTCAGAAAGGTCAGCCCCCAAACCTGTGCAGCCCCATAAAGACCCTCTGCTGCAGCTGGTGTCCCTGCAGAAAGCGTCTGGCAGCTGGATGCTTGATGAAGATCTGGCTGCTGTGCTGGGAAAGACCAAAGAGGAGGTGGAAAAGGCAAAACCAGAATTGGTGGGTTGTAGTCTGAAATAATAAAAAATAATAATAAAATTGTATAATTTAAATATTAAACAGGGGGTTTTGTATAATAATAATAATAATAATAATAATAATAATAATAATAATAATAATTAATAACAAAAATTAACACTGAAGGTTGCAAAGAGGGGAGTTTAACTAGAAGCAGGGTTAACACCGACTTCCAGTCCATCTGTCCAATTAGCCTAACATGCATATTTTCACACTGAAATCCATAGAACACAGAGAGAACACACATATACTTAGGGAGAACATGAAGGAGCCTCACAGAAAGGCCCTTTAGTGAATTTAAACCCAGAACTAAGACCACACACATACTTAGGAACAGATACTTAGTAACTGCTGATCTCCAAGTAGTCAGTGAGATACTTCCTAGTGCCGCCTCAGTGAAGGAAAGCTACTGTATAACATTTCTCCTTTTCGTTGTCCTGTTTCATCTCTCTGTGTTTCATTAGGTCAACAATGAAGTGTGGGCCTCCATTCTGGCTCTGATTTGGCTTCATGCTTTTAAGATGGATGCAAAGGAGGAGTGGGAGCTTCTGTCTATGAAGGCTGCATCATGGATTAAAGCTCAGAACGGTAACATACATAATCACCAGGGAACTCCTGTTTTTAAGTGTGTATTAAAACAGATGTTAAAACTGGATGCGAAAATAACATTGGTGAATCTTTTCTTTCCTTCAGCTCCATGTGTGTCAGAGTGTGTTGAAGCTGGAAATAAACTGTTGGGTTGCAGCGTGAAGAAAGAAGCTCTGAGCCTCTGAGGTTTTCCATGAACAGCCTTCAGCTTTACTATGGAAACTATGCTGCATTTGTTGAGGATGTAATAGTTCATTGCTGTTCTTTCTGTGTTTAGTTATAATGTTCAGCCTTTCTGTGCTTTAAGCAGTTTTAAAAAGCAAAGACACCAAAGATGTGTAAATATTAGTTAAATGGTGATTTTGTAACTAACTCACAAGCTGGTTTTCTGGACCAGTTGCAGTCAGNGTATTGGCAAGACATATCACAGTGTTGTTGAAATGAGGTAGTATTTTGAAAATGTCAAGGATCTCTGACACTGAAATATAAAATATTCATCCAGTCATAGTTGTTATATAACTGTTTCTTAAGAGGCAGAGTACAATATGGACAAGTTGGTGGGACATAATGCGGCAACACAGACGCTCATAGCCAAGGGTAATTTAAAGACACCAGTCAACCTAAATGTAAACTTTTTTACTGTGGAAGGAAGAAATACCAGGAAAAAACTCACCTTGTTGCTGCAAGGTGAAATTACAAACAACTGTGCTGCTATTTTTGTAGCTCCTAATTTGACGTAATAAACATGTTATTTCTATTTTCCCTTTCTATAAAACTGTATATTTTTTTTAGATTTAAGGTAACATGTGGACATGTTATTTTATCTTGGAATCAAAAGCAAAGCAAGAGGACATATTGAGAGGTCACCTCGGTACTCAAGTTTAAAATACACAAAGGATCAGATTAGTGATATTAACAGAAACTGAATTTGATTTAATTTTAAGAAATGTGGAAACATTATCTTCCTTCACCTGCTACCATAAATGTTGCTGACTGAATTGTTGATGAATAGTAAACAAAGGTAAAAAAGATTGACATTCCTCCTCAATGAATGAAAAAGTAGTTTATTTTACCTTTGGGAGATAAGAAAAGTAAAGGAGCATGATAAGAGGAAAAGGTTGAAACTGAGAAAGGAGGCAGTTTGTGTTCATAGAAAACATTTGATCTCCTTCAAATGTTAGATGTTGGATGTTTCTCCTTCCTGTCTCAGATTAACAGTCCACAGGCTGGCTGCTCGCACTGTGATTCGCTCGCTGGAGTCAGAGGAGAGGACACGAAGAGGACAGCAGGATGAAGAAGTGAAGAAGAAGGTGGTGGAGCTCAGCGTCCAATCAGGAGTAAGCAGCTGTTTCACTGCCTTCATTGCTGTCAACAAAGACAGCGGCAAGGCAGTTCAAGGACCGCTGGTGCGCAGAAATGTCCCGACAGGTGAGTGATTTATTTTATTTATTTTTTCAGTCAGTGGATTGACATTTGTTCATATGTAATTTATATGAAGATGTAAGCTATTGATAATATTAACACCTATGGTCTCTCTTGAAATGTCTTTGTTTTCTCCGATTTTCTGCTTCTGATGGGCTGGCAGCTTTTCTACCTCAAAGTAAGTAAAGCATCAAAGAAATCAAAAATGCTAAGGAGTTTGTTGAGCACTCTGAAGTAAATATATATATATCTATATCTATATATATATAGATATAGATATATATATATATATATATATATATATATATATATGGTTTATAATCAACCATAGAAAGGTTGATTATTACACCTTTTTTCAATCATATATAGTACTTTTTGATTTCTATCTTTTTTTTATGTTATTTTTATCCTATTTTAATTACTTTTTACATGGACGTGTGCCTTTAATAAAGGTGATGATGTTGATTATCTTTTTTTCCCCAGATTGGCAACTTTTGTTAATTTAATATCACCTGTTTTTTTTTTTTTTGTTTGTTTTTTTTTACTCCTTTTCTGTTTTAGTGATGGCTAAGTGTTCAGCTCGACGAAAATCACTTCGTAAGTAAATGCTTCAAAACAAAGTAAAACTACAATAAATAACACAAGATATTTCTGTCCTATAACTTATTAATTATATGGTTGGTGATGTTAATGGTATGCTCTTACTTATTAAGGATGAATAGTTTTGTTTTATTGTGGTTTAATTCTTTAAGATATTTTGGAAGAGCTCATTCAATGTATATTTTACCCTGTATTTTTTTCTCCTTTTCTGTTTTTGTTATGATTGTTCCTTATCCACGTCCACCAGGCTGTAGTAAGTAAAACTACAAAATTAATTACATTGCCCAAAAAAACCCTCAATAACAAATTATCATTCTCCTACTGCTTCCTGTTGTCTTCTTTTCTTTTCTGCCAGTAGTAACAGACACCTGTTGATTATGTGACTGGTGTGACGCAAAAAAGTTTTTCTTTCTATTTCAATGCGACTACAAAACTCATTGTCGAAAAATGTTTTATTTTCTCCAAATTGATGTTTCCATGAAGTAAATTTATCTCCGTAATTTCAGTTGGTGCAGTTCTATGCTTGTGAGAAGAGATTCGCCAATATAGATTTAGGAAGATTTATATCTTATCTGTTGAAAATAAATCACATTGTAACATTTGTCAGTATAAAACCCGTTCTTTCCTAAATTAATGCTATATTATCTTTCTGCTCTCTGGTTAGGTTCAGACACGATATTATGTATGAAATTGTGTGAAATAGAAAGACAATTTTATAAAGTACTTTATGTGTATGACATACCATTTCTATGCATAATCTAAATGTGGTCATACGTTTATAGAAACTATGGTTGCATTTTTAAAATATTAGGTCTTTGAAAAATTTAATTTTATGATTATTGGCAGTTTCTGATTGATAGTTTGTCACTTAATGTGCTTAGATGTCAGACAGCATGCACCCCTACTGATTTAAATTCAACTGGACAGTCTAAGTATCTGATCTAAAGGTCAAATGAAATCAGATCAGTTTAATGATTCAGATGTAAACACATCCATCATCTACAGAACACATTAAGACATGAGCCTTTTCACAGACTGTTTTTGTTTTATTTTAGCTTGTTTCTGAATAATTCTCACTAAATTTACATTTGTTTTGTCTTATGTTTCTGAAATCATTCACCAAGTATAAGGATTTGTGTATATTGGATTTTTGTTCAGCCATTTTGGACACATGGTAGTTCCAGGTCTTACTAAAGCCACAGTTAGATTGTCTGAAGTTGTTGTTGTGATTCTGATGTGTTTTCAATTGTCTGTTTTAGCTCCAAAGAAGAAAAAAGGTGGAATATTCTCTAGTAAGTAAAACAATGAATGATTTACAAGCACAACATCATTAAACAGTTCTCCATCTATTATTGGTTATGAGAAACTGACAATGACATCATTTGGTCTTACTGTTTATTTAAATGGACTAACCTTAAAATTAGGAACATGTTAAATATATTGTTGAATGGTTTTGTCATTTAAAATGTTAGTAATCTGCAGCAGAAACTGACCATTAGATGGCGCTGTGTTTTCAAAGACTGAGTCAGAAATATCCTCTTAGTCAATTTGGGCTCCAGCATCTGACAGGCATTGCTAAGCAAAACAACATCCAAGCCCTGAAACTACTGATGAATAAAACTGCAGCAGTTAAAATTTTAATGAAATAAATAAAAAATGTTGTTAATTAAATGATTTTTTGATTGTTGACTGTCTTAAGTGTTTCTTAATGAATGTCGGTCAAATTTCAAGTTTTATTTTCAGAATTTCAGAAGCAGAGAATCAAGTGAAGATACTACAATTCTTTAATGGATGATAAATTTCTGGAGTACATTTATAAATTCACCAGCCTTCAAAGAAAGTGGCAAATATCCTGTGAAAGATTGGCTAATTTCAAGAAAAATTAAAAGCTTCATTAATGACAATCTGTTTGCAGAACCTCTGTATATTGTTGTTGTGAAAGAGTGATACTGCTGTCAGATTGTCATGATTATATGGCTGGCACTAATTTTCAGGAAAGACGCCTCCTGTTAATCCTCCCACAGTAGACAAAGAAAACTTGTAAAACTGTACTAACTTGTAAAAGTGGAGCTTGTAAAAGCTCTGTACTTTTTACCACATTTTAGAACATGGGAGGGTTAAATGATGCATTATTCAATTACACATGCAGAAACATTTACTTGTACCATAATGATGGACGACGTTCCTCAGTAATGCTAAGTTTCTTTTTATTCTAGACATCTTTAGAAAGGATATCTCTCGTAGGAGCAAAGCTGCAGAAGCCATTTATTGTAAGTAGTATTTATGAATGCAGTGGATTATTGAAACTCACCTCATGTACCCACTTATCAAGCTCTTTTCACTTCACATGTGATGGTGATTTAGATTCAGAAAGGTCAGCCCCCAAATGTGTGCAGCCCCATAAAGACCCTCTGCTGCAGCTGGTGTCCCTGCAGAAAGCGTCTGGCAGCTGGATGCTTGATGAAGATCTGGCTGCTGTGCTGGGAAAGACCAAAGAGGAGGTGGAAAAGGCAAAACCAGAGTTGGTGGGTTGTAGTCTAAAATAATAACAATAATAAAAAATCTTATAATGTAAATATTAAATAGGAGTTTTTGTATAATAATAATTAATAACAAAAATTAACATTGAAGGTTGCAAAGAGGGGAGTTTAACTAGAAGCAGGTTTAACACCGACTTCCAGTCCATCTGTCCAATTAGCCTAACATGCATATTTTCACACTGAAATCCATAGAACACAGAGAGAACACACATATACTTAGGGAGAACATGAAGGAGCCTCACAGAAAGGCCCCTTAGTGAATTTAAACCCAGAACTAAGACCACATACATACCGTATTTTCTGCACTATATAAGGCGCACCTAAAAACCTTCAATTTCCTCAAAAGCCGACAGTGCGCCTTATAATCCGGTGCGCCGGACCAATATTGAGCCACAACAGGTCTAGCAACTACAGTAAGCAGCCGCTGACTTCATTTTCGCCGGTAGAAGAAGAAGCCCGTGGTGCATGCTGGGATAGTTGTCAGGACTCTGGTTTGTTAATAAAGTTTGACTGACGCATCTACCTACAGACCATCTATAATCAGGTCATCTGCAGGTCCCACGCCCCGGGCCAGTCGCGGAAAGCATTCTTCACCGACAGGAGTTGGACTGTTTTGTTGACATTTTTTATGTGAACAAAGTGGCTTTAGACATTCTTCGGGGGGTGCTTCAACTACGGTTACCAAGGGACCAGCCCCTATACATATAAAGCCGGGGGTGCGGGGAAGAGAGACAGTGACTGCGGCGGCAGCGTGTCAATTGGTCTGTGTTACCCAGAAAGCAGTTGGGCACAATATCGCAACAACAACACCGTGAGTGCAACAATGACTGGGGCAGCCTACTATATAAAGTACTCGGGGACCATTTCTTTATTATTATACATCCACATTTGTAGCGTACGGAACAAATAGCTAACTGTAGCTTCTATTCTATATGTCTATTCTATGCGCCTTATATATAAAAGAAGTTTTAAAATAGGCCATTCATTGAAGGTGCACCTTAGTGCGGAAAATACGGTACTTAGTAACTGCTGCTCTCCAAGTAGTCAGTGAGATACTTCCTAGTGCTGCCTCAGTGAAGGAAAGCAGCTGTATAACATCTATTCGTTGTCCTGTTTCATCTCTCTGTGTTTCATTAGGTCAACAATGAAGTGTGGGCCTCCATTCTGGCTCTGATTTGGCTTCATGCTTTTAAGATGGATGCAAAGGAGGAGTGGGAGCTTCTGTCTATGAAGGCTGCATCATGGATTAAAGCTCAGAACGGTAACATACATAATCACCAGGGAACTCCTGTTTTTAAGTGTGTATTAAAACAGAAGTTAAACTGGATGCAAAACTAACATCGGTGAATTTTTTCTTTCCTTCAGCTCCATGTGTGTCGGAGTGTGTTGAAGCTGGAAATAAACTGTTGGGTTGCAGCGTGAAGAAAGAAGCTCTGAGCCTCTGAGGTTTTCCATGATCAGCCTTCAGCTTTACTATGGAAACTATGCTCCATTTGTTGAGGATGTAATAGTTCATTGCTGTTCTTTCTGTGTTTAGTTATAATGTTCAGCCTTTCTATGCTTTAAGCAGTTTTAAAAAGCAAAGACACCAAAGATGTGTAAATATTAGTTAAATGGTGATTTTGTAACTAACTCACAAGCTGGTTTTCTGGACCAGTTGCAGTCAGGTTTATTTGTAATGTACATCTTGTCAAATAAAGCACTGTACTTTTGAATTATGAGTAACAAGTTGTCCAAATAGATTTTTGGCTTTAAATCTGTGTTCTTCATTCAGTGAAGTAAGTCCAGGTTGGCAGCAGAGCCAGAATGGGTACTCAGGAACTTTTAAAATATTCTAACAATATTTCAAAAATATTGTTAGAACATTGCAATAAAATCACTCCCAGAGAGTACATTTTTTCTAAAACCTAGTTACCATCAAACTCTGACATAATCCTATTAGAATGACAGTAAAAGTGATGGAATTTGAGAGGAAGGTTTGTTGAAACCTTGATGATTTGTTGTCTTTTTAGTCAAACTTTTAACAATAGAAACATGAATCATTTGATGAGGCAATTTCACGCAGTTGAAAATAAACCATTGATTCTTTTATTAATAATTTAAACATGAAGCCAACTCTGAAAGTCATTCTAATATCCACAAACTTCACATTAAAAGAATGTTCAAAACTCTCAAAATGAGTATCGCAACCCCCACCCCCCCCAAAAAAAACTATTCAAATCATACTTTTAGCTGGGAAACTAAATTTTGGGATACATTTACTGTTTAACTTCGATTGCTTTTGTTTAGGTAGGAAAAAACAGAAAGACGGAATCCTGTAAATACATTTTAGTAGCGCCACCTAGTGGTAAGTTTCTTTACCCATCAAGTTGTATCCCACTCGTCTTTCAGTGATGAAAGAAAATTCTGCTGAAACCTAAAAGTCCAAGACTTGTTTTTAATTTAATCTTTTTATTATTATTAAGTTAGTATCTACAGACTTTATGCACATTAAAGGCATAGGTACACTTTTTAAATCTAATGTAAATCTGACCTCAGTGTGCTACTGTCCATGGTGCTGAAAAGTCAAATTTACATTGTTCTTGGCTGACAAAATTACTGAAAAAATAAATGTTTTTAGTATTGTATATACACTGGAGACGACACTTTCAATGGTATTGATTGTCTTTTAGTGACTGGTGACATTTGTCAATGTTCAAAATTGGTTTATCCTCCTCTGTGATACATGCATAAATTCAAACANGAAGATTTACATCTTATCTGTTGAAAATAAATCACATTGTCTCTGGACTTAAACCGCAATGTAGAATAATATTTTAAGGATGAAACTATGATGAGATTTTCTCAAACTAGAATTTTCAATTTGTTTGAAATGAAATTTGCTTAATTTTATAAACTTAAACTTTTTAATTTAAGAGAATTTGGGGCCTAACCTAAAAATCTCAGCAACTTTAATTTCCTGATTGATTAAATGTCAGTAAAATCCTCTCTTGTCTTTGAAATGGTGGCTTGCAAACATATTTATACTCACATTTTGTCACATTACAACCACAAACAGAAATATTTTTATTGTAATTTAATATGAAAATTGGACACAAAGTAGTTATAGAATTGTGAAGTGGAATGGGTATGAATACTTTTGCAAACCACTGTATGTAAAACCAGTTTTAAAAAAATGTGTTTTTGATAAATGAGTTCACTAAAACAAAACAAGGTACATGCAGAGAAGAAGCTCAGTGACAGTTTATCAGCATAAAATTATTTGATTTTTTGTCTTGAGACAGGTATGGTCCCAAAATAATTAACTAAATGTAAGGATGGAAATGTAACAAAGAATTAGTCCAGCATTTTAAAGATTAACAAACAACTATTATTTATTTTAACAACACCTCTGGTACTTGTTTTTTTTTTTTTTTTTGTTTGTTTTTTCTTCCCCTCTTTTCTTTTGTTAGTGGTGTGTTTTGGTTCAGCTCCACAAGTTGATTGCAAGTAAAACAAACAAAGAAAAAAGTCATTTGACTGCTGCAAAAGAATATGTTTGGTTAAATAAAGACATGTCTGAATATGTGTGTTGTTTTTTTTAGTTTGTAGATGTACGAGGGCTGTTTACATAATTTTTGTCAGGGTGACATAACATCTATGCTCTCTTTGTTTTTTCTTTTCTCTTTTTTAGTCAAGAGATCAGCTTCACTATGTAAGTAAAGCCCAAAACAAATGATCACTGCAATTTCTTGGAGTACTCTGAACCAATATCAGATATTCTAGTTGTAAAGCTTATTGATTAAATGAATGGTGATAGTATGATATTGCGAAATTGCCTATAAAGAATGAATAATTTTATTTTTCAGATATTTTTGCTCTTTATTCGGGTTTAATTTTCACTGTAAGATATTTATCGAAATAGATTGCCCCCCTCTGGCTCCGCGACTGATGACAGGGGGGGCACTGCCCCCTCCGCCCCCCCCGCCCCTTCTTGGAGCTGTGCCCCCTCCGCCCCTTCGTAGGGCACTGCCCCATCCGCCCCCCCCGCCCCTTCGTGGGGCTGTGCCACTGTTTAGGTCAGCCAGGTCATCCCTAGGGATCCATAGTAAAGAGATGTCCCGGAGGAGCAACGCTGCAGAAGCAATTGATTGTAAGTAGTATTTATGAATGCAGTGGATTATTGAAACTCACCTCATGTACCCACTTATCAAGCTCTTTTCACTTCACAGCTGATGATGATTTAGATTCAGAAAGGTCAGCCCCCAAACCTGTGCAGCCCCATAAAGACCCTCTGCTGCAGCTGGTGTCCCTGCAGAAAGCGTCTGGCAGCTGGATGCTTGATGAAGATCTGGCTGCTGTGCTGGGAAAGACCAAAGAGGAGGTGGAAAAGGCAAAACCAGAATTGGTGGGTTGTAGTCTGAAATAATAAAAAATAATAATAAAATTGTATAATTTAAATATTAAACAGGGGGTTTTGTATTATAATAATAATAATAATAATAATAATAATAATAATAATAATAATAATTAATAACAAAAATTAACACTGAAGGTTGCAAAGAGGGGAGTTTAACTAGAAGCAGGGTTAACACCGACTTCCAGTCCATCTGTCCAATTAGCCTAACATGCATATTTTCACACTGAAATCCATAGAACACAGAGAGAACACACATATACTTAGGGAGAACATGAAGGAGCCTCACAGAAAGGCCCTTTAGTGAATTTAAACCCAGAACTAAGACCACACACATACTTAGGAACAGATACTTAGTAACTGCTGATCTCCAAGTAGTCAGTGAGATACTTCCTAGTGCCGCCTCAGTGAAGGAAAGCTACTGTATAACATTTCTCCTTTTCGTTGTCCTGTTTCATCTCTCTGTGTTTCATTAGGTCAACAATGAAGTGTGGGCCTCCATTCTGGTTCTGATTTGGCTTCATGCTTTTAAGATGGACGCAAAGGAGGAGTGGGAGCTTCTGTCTATGAAGGCTGCATCATGGATTAAAGCTCAGAACGGTAACATACATAATCACCAGGGAACTCCTGTTTTTAAGTGTGTATTAAAACTGGATGCAAAAATAACATTGATGAATCTTTTCTTTCCTTCAGCTCCATGTGTGTCAGAGTGTGTTGAAGCTGGAAATAAACTGTTGGGCTGCAGTGTGAAGAAAGAAGCTCTGAGCCTCTGAGGTTTTCCATGAACAGCCTTCAGCTTTACTATGGAAGCACCTGAGTGCAGGAAATAAAACACTGAAGTTACTAATGACCAAGAAACAGATGTACTGTTCAACATTTAATCATGTGTCTGCCAGTGTGCCTTGTGATATTTGCACCATATGAATAAAAAGAAGCTAAGGATCATTGAAATACTTTGTTTTTTATTTACTACAATCAATACATCTGCATTTTAACCAGTTTTATTGAAATCATATACATATCCATCCATTTTCTTTACGCCCTTGTCCCTCAGTGGGGTCAGGAGGGTTGCTGGTGCATATCTCCAGCTGATGTTCTGGGCGAGAGGTGGGGTTCACCCTGGACAGGTTGCCAGTGTGTTGCAGGGCAACACAGAGACACACAACCATGCACACACACATGCATGGTTGTGTGTCAATTTGGAGAGGCCAATTAACCTGACAGTCATGTTTTTGGGCTGTGGGAGGAGAAAACCCACACATGCACAGGGAGAACATCCAAACTCCATGCAGAAAGACTGGGGCCAGGAATTGAACCCAGAACCTTCTTGCTGCAAGACAACAGCTCTACCAACTGCACCACTGTGCAGCCTTATATCCACCATTCTGTTTTAATTAGACTGGTGTCGACCATTTTCTCACATTTCTTTGACATAACCCTTTAAACTATATTTAACTCATTATCCAACCAAACATTGTGGTATAGATATGAAAAGCTGTTTGGGACTCATTCTGTTCTCTACTTTATATGTTCCTATAAGAAACATTCCTGTAACTTCATACTGTAAGTCAGTTGTGCTCCAATAAATATGAAATACACCAATCATAGAAAAATTGACTGGAAATAATAAATACATGGTTTATAAAAAAAAAAAAATGAAGCAGCTAAGTAACATGATCTCCTTGGTTTTAGGCAGGTTGATCAGGAGGTGGTTCTGTTGGCACCAGTCCATAACATGCCGAGTCACTGTGTGTGATACGTTTCACACGTATCTGAAGAATAAGCAGCTCATGTGGATCACACGCACAGAAACACTCGATTTTGTTTGCACACATTTCCATCACCGTTTCACTGCTGAACTGAACCCACGTCTGAGGGTTTATTACTGAGCATCAATACTTTATTAAATTGCTTACAGAACAGAATCAGCTGGCTGGCATCTTCACTGCTTCAATGTTTGTTTAAAGCTTAATAACTTTACACCATGTCGAGCAGGAAAATGAAAGTGAAGTCTGTATCTGCTGTTTTTGACAATAGGGCTGAGGGGTTTAACTGCTTAAAAATGTAGTCGTGTCCTTCAACTACCGTTTATTTCAGCGTTTTCCTGTCTTTTACAGATTTCATAAAACCATTCAAGTTTTATGCTCAGACCTCAGAAAGAAAAAAACACTAGCTCTGAGGGTTCCCGGTGTACTGGTCCTCCCAGACCTTAAGACATTAAGACATGCTCAGATTGAATTACTTCTTTCTTGCATCCTCCTTTTTGCTTTTACTATGTGGCACTTTCACAGAGAAAGCGCCAAAAGTTTCTCCTTTGATCGGCCAGCACTGCTTTTTACATCTGAGGTGTAGGAGGTAAATACACTTATTTCTTATTTGGATGGTTAGCCCGCACGTCACCAGGATAGCTTTCTCTCATAGCAGTATGGACGTGCATTGCAAATTAGACAAGGGTATAAATGTTGCTGTGCTTGGTATCATGTATGGTAAACGCTTATATCCATTTAAATAAGCAAAAAGCAGAGGCTGGTATCCACCTGCATGCTTTGTGCATAGTTTTTCCACATGGGGAGTGGTATGTGTGATGGGGCAATTCCTGTGTGTGTGGCAGGTGGGGTTGGAGTCAGTCTTGTCAGGCAAAATTACAAAAATGTGGAACACTGAGAGATTGGCTTTTAAATCCACAAGTGTCATCTTAGGTCAGACACCAAACACTCCAAAAAATTTAAAAGGGCCGGTTTAGCGCCACATACATCTGTGAGTGTGTCTGCTTAGGACTCAAGAAAATAAGAACAAAGGGGAAGAAAATTAATGGCATTTTTTTTATTTTTATTAATTTATTCCTCATTTATTACATGAAGATATTGTTTCAGTAAAACTGGTTAAAATCCATATGCTGAAAGTTAAGCATAAAGCTGCGCTCCATGGCTTCTTTGTTATGCAAAGAGTGCAAATATCAAAAGGCACACTGGCAGATACATGGATAAATTTTGCAAAAAGAAAATAAAGTCCTAAGCTTGTTCTTGTTAATCAACAACTTCAGTGTCTTCCTTCCGACACTGAGGTGCTTCCATAGTTAAGCTGAAGCCTGTCGATAATCCTGAGAGACCCAGAGCTTCTTTCTTCACGCCGCAACCCAACAGTGCATTTCCAGCTTCAACACACTCTGACACACATGGAGCTGAAGGAAAGAAAAGATTCACAAATATTATTTTTTGCATCTAGTTATACCTTCTGTTTTAAACACACCATGGTGAACGTAACAGTTCCCTGCTGATTACGTATGTTACCGTTCTGAGCTTTAATCCATGATGCAGCCTTCATAGACAGAAGCTCCCACTCTTCCTTTGCATCCATCTTAAAAGCATGAAGCCAAATCAGAGCCAGAATGGAGGCCCACACTTCATTGTTGACCTAATGAAACAGAGACGAAACAGAAAACAGGATTATGCCATGCTGGCATGATATTGGATTGCAAGTTCTTTCAGGTATTGTATTAAAGCTGCATTATGTAACCTTTTTAGGAAACAAAAAAAAAAAGGAAGTTTTTTTTACATATTTGTTAAAACTGTCAATGCCATGTCAGTATGGGATGAGATAGATAATTTGTCAACGAAATAAAAATCAAGCTCCTTCCAATGCAACTACTGCAACCTGCAGAAGTGCACTGCTCCTGTTCGAAATCAGAGCCAGGAGGAAGATATTAGTGCTGTGGATCATACCCGCCGCTCAAGTGGGTAGATGTGAGCAGCGAGTACACAGCGTTGATCGACAGTGCCAATATCTTTCTCCTGTCCCCGTTTGGTTGTTTTTGACCCAAAGCGGTGCAAAGCAATGGGAGGAGGCAGACATTCACAGATTATCTGTCTCACACTATGACATAGTAGCAATCATAGCCAATATGTAAAAACATTTAATACAAATTAAATTCTGCAGCTTTAAATCTCATCACTGTCACTTGTAAACTTTAATATTCCTTCTTTGTTATTACTGTACAAGAAAATAATGATACGTATGTTACTCTGTATTTTGCTGACCATTTTCGGTTTTAAATCTCATGTCATGGTGTGTGTTAAAGAGTTTAGTTTCATATGCTTGTTTAGTTGATCAACTCTCTCTGTTTACAGCTCAACATTAAAATATGTTGGTCGACTCGGTGGCCTCACAGGAACAAGGTTCTTGGTTCAAATCCCTGGAGACTTTCCGTGTAGAGTTTCTGTGTTCTCCATGAGGATTTTCTCTCTTGATACTCCAACAATGCAAATACATGGATGGTAAGATAAATGGCATCCAAAGTGGTTTTCAGGTATGAGTGTATGACTACATGTCTGTTTTTCCTGTATTTTACCCATTACCTCTGCAAACGATCTTAAACTTCCCTAAATGCAAACAACCATAAATATTAAGCAGATTTTGAAAATTGATGGATAGACTGCTGATTATTTCTCCTGCCAATAGTTTCACTTCCAATTTCCTTCATTTGGCAATGCTTCAAAGATGACGCCTTAAACTTAAGTATTCGTTCAGAACTCACCGGTGGTGGTTTTGCCTTTTCCACTTCCTCGCTGCTCTTTCCCAGCACTGCAGCCAGACTTCCATCAAGCATCCAGCAGCCAGACGCTTTCTGCAGGGACACCAGCTGCAGCAGAGGGTCTTTACTGGGTAGCACAACTTCTGGCTCATTGAATTCTACCCCAAAGTCTTCACTGTCATCATCGCAGTCAGCATAAAGGAAATTAGCTGTGACAAAGAGAAAGCTTAATACAAGTCTAGGGTCTTTGACTGGTGTCTGATAATGAAACTAAAGCTATTTTTATTACAGTTATTCTATAAATCCTATTCACAAGTAATTAGGAAAACAGATGATTGCAATATCATTACAGAGTATTGTGACAATACAAGTTACAACTAACCCACATTTTCAGACACTATTCCTTCTTTTTCTTCATGGCCATGTCTACACCACTGGGTGTTAGTATCTCAGCAACTAAAAGCATATAGTACATCAAAAAGTAGATGCAGTTGACAGTGAAAGTCTACCAAACAGGCCAAATACATTATGGCCTAAAGAAAAAAAAAATCTATGGATTGCACCTAAAAAAAATATATATCCTATGAAATACTGCATCCTTTGTTATTGTGAAAATAAATAGACTCATTATGATTTGAACCTTACTTGTTGCTGACAGCCTAACTTATCTCACATGACTTGTCTCTCCAAAACTCTTAAGCAACAAGTCATGGGGGAAAAAGATGAGTCGTATCCCATTTTCAACTTGAGTAACTTTGCTACATCCCCTGTAGCTCTGGAAGCATCTAGAAGAAGTGTGTGTTTATAAGCCCTCCCCATTTTAATCACAGCCATGCGGAGACTGCACTGGTAACGTTTTACATAACATACGTCTAAATGTCTTGCATCAAAAATCTTTGTATTGGTTTTACAAGATCTCAGTGCTGCATTTGATGTAGATGATTATCAAATCAAATTTTACTTGTATGGCACCTTTCAGCAACAAGGCAGTTCAATGCGCTTCACGTCATACAAAGTCACAGAACAAACACACAGTCAACAACTGAAACATTATATGTTGTGCAGGTCAGATTGTTGATTGTTTCATTGATTGTGTTTCAAAATGTTCTCCAAGTTGCCCCTAGCAACTACAAGTTACAACTAACCTACATATGCTTGCATTTTTATCTGTTCATAGTGTCTGTCTGTGTGGGGTTATGTGATTCACAACACCACACCGTCACCCACTGACCGCTGCAGATGGACGCCAGCCCCATCTATAACTATGCATAGGAAAACTGATGTAAATAATGGATGAATAGATGTAGTTATGAAAGTACACTTACCTGACTTTGGCATAGCTCCACATAAATCAGGAAGAGAATCTGCACATGATGAAGAAAAAAAAAGAGAATTAGAGATAGACATTTAAAATAAAATAAATCAGTATACAAGGAAATTGCCTTGTATGCTTAAGTTCATGACACCAAACCCTAGAAAGTAGGGTCTAAGCAATAAATCAAAGAAGGCGCCTGAGATCTTATTTCAACAAGGTCTATGCCTGAAAGAGGATCAATTATTATTATTATTTTTGTATGTTCTTCAAAAAGTTAAAAACAAGCCTAAAATCTTAAATGTTCAACTCTGAGCATCAAGAATAGACAATATAAGTTTGCCATACTTGCACAATATTTTGTGGTACTTATTGTGGCAACAATACAAGTGATAATAAAAAGTCATTTTGCAACCTCTTTGCTAGACTTTTCTAACCAACTGTATGGCTGTGATAACACATTACTGCAGTCAAAGCCCCACAAACAAATACTGGAATAAAAACATGCCAATTTCTAAGTAGGATTCCTTGAAACATCTCTGTTATATAAATTGTGTTTTATTCAATTGTTAAACTATATACAGTGTTGCATTCCATCTTATTTTTTGAATTTATTGATATTGTCATTGAACCAACAGTGGAGAAAATAGCAAAAATAATCCTGGCAACACAGTCATTTTTGGAGATTTTCAGATATTAATCGTAATTTGATCAATCAAAATTATCATCCCAGTTAAGAAATCTTTCACATCGATAAGTAAGCAAAAGCTGTTCACTGATTTTTCTGTACGGTGTGCTTGTCTGTAGATGTATACAGTTTTACAGTATTATCTGACATAAGCTCATAGAAAAACTGAGCAAACAGTAACAGGTTATGAAACATTTGGTTGGTGAACTTTGACTTGATCTTTACAAAAAAAAAAAGCTACACTAAAAATAATCTATAAAGTCTACAACTTGATCATTCTTTTCTCATCTCAGTGTTAATTTATACAAGCTTACTTCGGTAATAACTTTTAGTTATCATTGATTGTAAAAGGTATCCAAGTATATAGCGACCATGTTTTTCAGTTGTAGTTTCAATGATTGATTGTTGATGAATCAGCTCCTTTTACTTACCCATATCAGTCATAAGCATCCGAGCTAGATCAGGATAAATAAAAAAGGAGTGAGATTGTGACATTTCATTCTAACAATTTCTTTCAGTCTAGGGTATTGAGGCCTTAATTTTATCTTTACCAAAACGATATGACTAAATGTAAACTAAAAATAACCTTTAAAGTTTAAATTTTCACTTTAAACAAATGACTATAAGGGAATCTGAGTGTGCAAGGTAATCTCAGTGTTAAAGTACATAAAGGTTTTTCAGTAAAATCTTTTAATAAATTTGTATCATGTGAACGACGGCACGTAAAATACATGCTACTGATTTGAACAATATAATTAAAGCACATACTGTGGCTGTGCAGCAAATCATTGATTAACTTCTGTTCCATTTGTGCCAAATGTTATTCAAATTTTGTCGTAAATTATTGCTGATGGTAAATGCTGTCCAAGTATATAGGGAAAATGTTAAGTAACGGTGAGTTAAGAGTTTTTACTTACACATAGGTGCACACTGAAAACTCATGCCTACATGGAGACACAGAGAGACATAAAAAAATAGAGTCCTAAGATTGAGACATTTCATTCCAATAATTTTATTTTTATTTTGTTGAACATGTCACTGAATACTATTTAGACACCTTCAGGATACAGTCAGAATATGCCGAGATTGAATCTCTAATGAAAAATGTAAAATTCACTTTACCTGCTTTAATCAACAGGCAAAATCAACACTTTTTTCACTTTATGCCATAAAATTCATACAAGTATTTTCAATTATTTATTCATTATTTTTTTTTTACATTAAACATTGCTTGGAATTGATTGAAAGACAAAATTAGTGAACAAAGAATTAGCTGATATATTAATTGTTACAAATATTTTATAATGCTTCTTACCAAAGAAAATAAAACTTAGTGCATAATAATTTCATAACCTGAGGCCTTAATTTTATCTTTACCAAAATTGTTAAGACAAAATGTAAAACAAATGTAGAATAATCTATATACTTAACCAAATATGGTTAAAATGAAAGTACACAAACTTGCTGCAGTATAATTTTTTAATAAATTAGTATCTCGTAAACAGCAATGAAAAGTACAATACATGCTATTGTGATTGTTTAACTTATCTTCCATTTGTGTGAAAATTTCTCCAAAATTTGTAGCAAATTATTATTGATGATAATTTACTACAATTATAATCAATAATAATTGATGGTAATTATTATTGATTACTTAAAAACACGAAGTAATCGTGTTTTTAAGTTGTAGCAGTTCCTCAGAGTTTTACTTACCAATAGGTGCTGAATAATAACAAGCTGTAGCCATGCTTCCCACTAGACCAGAAGAGATGAACATGTTTTAAAAATAAAAGGACAGAAAGACTATTACATTTTATTCCACAAAATGTTTTCAGAGGGTTGTGTTCTCACTTTTTGAATACACCAATAAATATTCAGACGAAGATTAAATCTGATGCTAAATGTACAGCTGGCCTGGTTTGCTCTTACTAACAACTTTGACAGCTTCAATACAAAAAAACTGCTGAAATTAGTTACAGCTTCTAAATTATTTCAGACTAAAATTCTATTAGTCCGTTACTAAATATATAAGCCACTGGAAACATCCTGGTGTGAATTTGGGATTTTTCCTAACTTGGCTCATGTTTTGTCCTTGTTCATGATGTAGAGAGTAAGATTCAATATAGATTATAAGTTGAATCATTGTAGTGGAAAAAAATAAAATCAGTATTTGAAATCAATAAAATAATTAAAAACATTGGAGAAAATACATGCTTCCCCCCCCGATCAGTTTTTCTAAATGTAACCAGAAACGACCACAAATGTACATAGGAAGATTCAGTCCTAAGTAAAACATTTACATTAAAATTCATTTGAAATTAAGTTAATTTATTCACTTGGAATAGGAAAGAATTTGGTACTGCAGTGTCCAAACACAGTATGTGTTTAATATTATCAAACAAAGCCAAATCTTGTTGATCATAACTCATTTATAAAAACTAGTAAAGAGTGCAAAATATCCAAAGGGGTGAATACTTTTAAAAAACACTGTGTTATGGGAGAAATTCTGCTTCTTCATCTGAATAATCTCAGACTGATCAAACAAGTTTAATGCTATCATATGAGTTCATATTTGCAATCAATAGGAAGTTTACTTACCACTTATACCCTATTCTAACTGGCTAATAATGATTATTTAAAAATAAAAATCACTCACTTCCATAGAAAGGTGTTGGGACATTTCTGTGCACCAGAGGTCCTTCAACGGACTTGCCACTGTCTTTGTGAACAGCTATGAAGGCAGTGAAAGAACTGCTCACTCCTGACTGGACACTGAGCTCCACCACCTTCTTCTTCATTTCTTCATTCTGTCCACTTTGTGTCCTCTCCTCTGACTCCAGGGAGCGAATCACAGTGCGAGCAGCCAGCCTGTGGACTGTTAATCTGCAGGCAGGAAGAAGAAAAATCTAAAGATGGAGTTCAATCTCTTTCAACATAAAGATCAACCCCTCTATCATATGTTTTTTTTGCATGCTTTCTGTAACATCCCCCTTTTTTCCTTTAGGGTACGGTTGGATTTCTGTCAAGATTGATTTTTCATTCATCATTGGAGTGAAACCAACATACATCAAATGTACAAATATAATTTCTCATTTATAAAGCAAAGAGTTGGGATCCTATCTAGACTTACATTTCCTCAGGCACCTTCTTTACTCTTCCAAAAGTATTTTGTAAACTAACCACATGGTCAATTTAGAAGCAGAGAAAGGGAGAAGTGAAGAAATTAAAACCAGCACCGTAGATTAAAAACATCCTCCACTATACAGCTGCACACTGGGTGAATCCTGACTATGAACACGACAAAACATCAGCTTCTTCGGACAACTCCTGATCACACCGAGTTTCCCCACCATAGCAATTCCGATACCCACAGAATTAATCTGCAAACATGATTGTCAGGTTTGACATGCCTGACCAGCAAGGTTTTACTTGACAGTAGCTCTAAAACAATGTTTCCCAACCCTGGTCCTCAAGGCACACTGACCTGCATGTTTTAGATGCCCCCCCTGCTTCAACACACCCCCTTCAGATGACTGCAATTCAGCAAAACCCTGTTAATCAGCCATCAATTGAAATCATGTGTGCTGAAGCAGGGGAACATCTAAAACATGCAGGTCAGTGTGCCCTGAGGACCAGGGTTGGGAAACACTGCTCTAAAAGACTGGACTTAAGCAGTCTGGTTGCCACCCAAATAGGCACCAATGAAATTCAGGCCACAGTTCATGAGAACTGCATCTGAAGTGGAAGCCCTGAAGATGTCCAAGAACCCACGCTGCTCAGAGAGCAGTGGTGGAGAAAGTACTCAAAAAGTGTACTTAAGTAAAAGTACAAATACACAGACAAAAATGTACTCAAGTAANATTTTTATCATGACATTATGGAAAATAATGAACTTTATCACAATATTCTAATTTTATGACCAGCACCTGTAATGTATTGTGCAAGTAGAAAGTGCAATACATGCTACTGATTTGAACGATATGATTAAAGTACACTGTGAATGCTGTGGCTGTGCAGGAAATCTGTGACTCATATTTGTGCTAAATGCCAATCAAGATTACTGGGACACCAATATTGATGGAAAACGTACCCAAGTATATAGTGATGGTATTTTTCAATTTGCAGTGATTACTTGTTGATGGAGCAGTTCCTCATTAAAGTTTTACTTACCCCTATAGTTTGAAACCCATAGATTTGGAGTCCACATGTCTAGACCTGAACCTATATAAAAAGAAAAAGTAGTATTATTGTGATATTTGATAAAAATAACTATTTTCAGACAGTTCTATTTTACTTTGGGGAATACATCACTGAATACCTACTTAAACATCTTTAGGTTTGATTCAAATTATGTCAGAATATAGTCTAATCTCTAAGGCCAAACATTTTCCTAATTTCTGTTCACTAATTAGATTTGGATAGGATAATACTAGATTTTCTTAGTCTTAATTTGCTAAATGGTTGAAATAAAAAAGGAGAAAAAAATAAGTCACTCACATCTAAGGATAGGTGTTGGGACATTTCTGCGCACCAGAGGTCCTTGAACCGACTCGCCGTTGTCCTTGACAGCGATGAAGGCAGTGAAGGAACTGCTCACTCCTGATTGGACGCTGAGCTCCACCACCTTCTTCTTCATTTCTTCATCTTGTTGTCCTCTTTGTGTCCTCTTTTCCGACTCCAGAGAACGAATCATAGTGCGAGCAGCCAGCCTGTGGACTGTTAATCTGGAGACAGGAAGGAGAAACATCTAAAGATGGAGCTGAATTTCTCTCAACATAAACATCAAGCCCACTCTCAGTGACTTTTCCCTATTTGTTTTAGTTTGTTGTTGAATTTGTCTCAAGATTGCTTTCTCATTCTTGATGAGATGAAGAAAAACACCACAGTGCTTGGCCAGAAGCTTGCACTCTTTGCTCTGCTTGGGGAACTCCAGAGTAGTAGATATTGATCTACAAGAATTTGAGTTTTGAACATATTAGTGGTCATTCTTGGCTCCACACACCACTTTTGCTAATTTTCTTTCATTAAAGAGACTTTAAATGTCCCAAAAGCTAGATGATTACATGAGGAATCAGGACATTCATCCCCCCTACAAAATAACCGAAAGGGAAATGGAAATAAGATTTTAATTTCCTGTTACAAAGGACAAAATACTTTAAATGACATTGTTTGTGAGCAAGATGGAAACATTAAAACACTACCTGGTTTTTGTGACAATCATGTGGCAATTGCAATATGGTTATTGATTTAAACCAACAATCTAAGCAGCTTTACCCAGAGTCCTCTGCAGGTTTGAGATTGAAGTGCAGCTGGCTCCGAGAGGGATGACCGTCCAGGCTGTACTTCACTGTCACACTGCAATCTGCTTCCCCTGAACTCTGAGACATAATTTTATTTGGAGGGAAAAATACCTTTGAAATGTTTTAAATATAAGCAATCAAGATGGTTAAGCAGGAAGGAAACAGAGGTGACCCTACCTGTCCTGTAAGCTGAGCATAAATCAGTGACCTCTCACCCTCGAATATTGCTGTAATGGGTGGAGAGAGAACGGTGGCCGACACTCCCTTTGGTAAATCCCAGGAGACAGAAATGTCCTCCACAATGGGCTGCAGTGCAAACCTGAGTGACTGCATCACCTGTGATTCACACAATAGTTGTGAAATGATTTACTTTTACTATAATCACATTCTGATGATTTTTTTTTCACCAACTCATTTTTTCTTTTTACCTTTGGTTGCATCCTGTCAGCCCCTGTGATGAACTGAGCGTGACCTCCGCCCTCTTTGGCCATCCCATAGATGAGAGCAGAGCTGGCTCCTTCTCCAATCCCAAAAGAGAAACACCTACGATACAAGAGTTTGATTTCAAACTCACAATAGCATCAGAACATGAACCAGACTGGGAATCTGTGTGTTTATGGTTTCACCTGTGGGAGCCTGCATTCTTCTTAACAAGATCAGTAACTTCTTTGGTGTTTCCCACCTCTCCGTCAGTGAAGACAAACAACTGAGGGAGGAGAAAACACCAAAAACGTCAGAACCAAACAGGAGCTGAAAGTCTTCAGGATCATCTGTTTGAGAGGAGTCTATCTTTGATACTTTAGTAACAGAAATTACTAAAGTGACAATTATGAGCTTTAAAGAAAACCAATTAATTCCATGACAAGGTGGAGCACAAAGAGTTATTGTGGTGGAAAACTGCAGTATTTTCATAAAATTTGAAATAATAACTCTGACTAGTGGCTCTTCTAGATCAGTGGTTCTTAACCTGGATTCGATCGAACCAGGGGTTCGATGAGTCGGTCTCAGGGGTTCGGTGGAGCCTCTGCCGCGTAAAGACTTGTGTAAAGTTGTGATGCCGTCCCGCTTTGCCGCCTCCACTTGCTGCAGAGGATCACGTTACATTGCTTAGCCAATCAGAGCTGCGGAGGAGCACTGATTGAAGGAGTTCCACTCTCAGCATGGATTTGAACGTTTTTACCAGCTTAGCTTTCGGTGTACTTCTAAATCTGTTCCTTAGTCGCATGTTTTTGGGGTTGCTACTGCCTCTACCGGCGTGGGGGTGGTAACACAACTAATATAATTACTAAATCAGAATAGGCCTACCTCAAATTATTTTTGTGTGTCGGGGTGGTGGGGTGGGTAGAGATCATAACCCACTACAGAAGGGTTCGGTGAAAGCGCATATGAAACTGGGGGGTTCGGTACCTCAAAAACGGTTAAGAACCACTGTTCTAGATAAACCTCCAATATCAGTGTGTAAATCTGACCTGCCGAGGATGTTTGGGAATGCAGGCTTGGCTGTAAATGTGTTTGAGAGGCTGAAGAATGTCTGTTCCTCCAAGAGTAGCCGCCATCCTGTTAACCTTCTTAAGAGCCTCCTCCATGGTCTTCTCACTGTACTCCACACTCGTACTGTAAAAATATAGGGAACATGTTAATGAAAACAATTTCAATAAATATCAAAAGCCACAAAACATGTAACTGTTTCTTGAAATGATACCCAAATCACCAGTTTTACATGAAATCTGCTGTGGACATAGGTAGTAAAAAAATCTAATGGAATTCTGTTTAGGGGTCAGATGTCACTCACAGGAAGACGTGCTCAAAGGTGGATCCAAAACTGTAAATATTGAAGTAGCAGCCCATTGGTAAACTCTTCAACAGGAGCAGCAGAGTGTCCTAAAGAAAGACAGGAAGTAAACAAGATTATTTGAGAGATGAAAGTGGTTTCACATAAAGTTCAGATTTCTTTTTATTACATAAAAATCTTGTAAAAATTCTTAAACAATTAATGTCTTATCCAGACCATTCAAATCCCATCAAATTAGACTTTGACAATGTTAAAGTAGCGGAAATCTGTCTCTTATAGGATGAACTCCTACCACCTTCCCCACATAATAATGTCAAACATTGTCTCAAAACATGGATAAATACCCGTGCGCTGCTAATGCGAGTTCCTGGTGTGCTTCTGTTCATAGGACAATCCATACTTCCTGATCGATCCATTAAGAACACAATCTCTCCACGGGATGATATCACTGATTGGGGGAACTCAGGGTACAGGCTAATCATCACCGCTGGATCACCCATCAGAGAGCCTGGAACACAGGAGTAGGTATGAGAAAAGAAAACCAACAAATTTTCTGACATTCTAGCATTTAATATTCAGTAACGCCTAAACTAATCTGTTCTCACCAGGTTTGGCAGAGGCCTGTCCTGCCTCCACCACAGCAGAGGGCTGGTGGGCGTCTTTGTAATAAATCAGTAGCTCAACGTCTCTGTCAAACTTGTGTCCTGCACCCAATTTAACCTACAGTTGAAAACAAGAAACAAGAAAACTGAAGTGATTTATCTTGTTTGTAATAACTACATCCAGCAGTAACATCAGCTCTCTACCCACCGTGGCCTGAGTTTGATCAGCGTTGAGGTACTGAAGAGGCTCCAGAGAACAACTGGACTCTATTTTAGAGATTGGACGAGGAGAGGAGACCTGGGCAGAAAAGGACAGACTGTAGGGCACCAGAGAGGCTGGAACTGAGGTCACCTGGACACTGGGACCTTCACTACCTGGAAACAACATGAGAGAAAAATGGGAGNATCTTAGAGCTGTGGACGTGATGCTTAATACATTAGGAATGTATTAAGCTTAAAGAAAGGTTTCTTTAAGCTTTCCTTCCAAGTGACACTAAAAGTTGGACTAAGTCCCCACCGTCTGTGAAAGCGAAGCGCTGCTGATTTTACATGTCGCCATATCTTATGGTTTATGCAGCACTATTATATTACTGACGATCAGACAGACATCTTCTCCCGCTCAGAGGAAACCACTGCGTATATCTTTGAGCTCCGCGTGCGAGTAAAGGTGGAGGCGATGGGTGACAACAGACACTAAGTCAGTTATTGCTCGGATTTTACGGCGCCACCTTAAAACCCTGAACTTCACATTTTAACGGAAAAAAAGAGCAACGTGACTTGGATGTAACGAGTAACGCGAAAGTTTTGTAGAAATGTAGTGAAGTAGAAAGTACAGGTACTTACAGTAAAATGTAGTGGAGTAAAAGTAGAAAGTACCCATTATTAAATCTACTTAAGTAAAGTACAGATACATGGAAAATGTACTTAAGTACAGTAACAAAGTATTTATACTTCATTACTTCCCACCACTGTCAGAGAGAACATTCAAACTCCATGCAGAAGGATCCCAGGATTGTCTTGCTGTGGTGCAACTGCACCATTGTGCAGCCCCTCTGCTAATAATATCCAGTTGACAATTCTTGACCCATAAACCTTTGGCTGGAAATTTTCTAAAATGTCCTAAAATCTTGTTGATTACACAGGACACCGAGCCCCTCTAAAAAATAACTTGACACAAAGGGAACACTTTATATTGTAAAGCTTTTGAGCAACAAGGAAATATTAAAATACATGGCTTCCATGATAATCGTCTGACTTACACAATGCAACACAGTTGGTGCCTTAAAACAATGATCAAAGCCGTTTTACCCAGAGTGCTCTGCAGGTTTGAGACTGAAGTGCAGCTGGTTCTGAGAGGGATGACCTGCCAGGCTGTACTTCACTGTCACACTGCCACCTGCTTCCTCTGAACTCTAAAAAATTATTTGATTTGGAGGAAGAAATATATCTTTGGTACGTTTTAAATCTCACCAATGAAGTTTAGAATGATGCTTAAGGAGGAAACAGACAGAGGTGACCCTACCTGTCCAGTGAGCTGAGCATAAAGCAGTGACCTTTGACCCTGAAAAATAGCTGTGATGGGTGGAGAGAGAACAGTGGCAGCCACTCCCTTTGGTAAATCCCAGGAGATAGAAATGTCCTCCACAGCTGGCTGCAGTGCAAACCTGAGTGACTGCATCACCTGTGGTTCAAACAATAGTTGTAAAATTATTTACTTTTACTATAATCACATTTTCATGTGTTGGTGCAGTTTTTACAGCTTTTTGTGTTGTTGTTTTTACTTTTGGTTGCATCCTGTCAGCCCCTGTGATGAACTGAGCGTGACCTCCGCCCTCTTTGGCCATCCCGTTGATGAGAGCAGAGCTGGCTCCTTCTCCAATCCCAAAAGAGAAACACCTACGATACAAGAGTTTGATTTCAAATTCACAATAGCATCAGAACATGAACCAGACTGGGAATCTGTGTGTTTATGGTTTCACCTGTGGGAGCCTGCATTCTTCTTAACAAGATCAGTAACTTCTTTGGTGTTTCCCACCTCTCCGTCAGTGAAGACAAACAACTGAGGGGGGGAATGTAAATGAGCTTTGGAGAAAACAAGTTTGTCTAACATTCCAGAAATGGGTGGAGCAGTAGGAGTTATTGTGGTGAACAACCACAGTATTCATTTTACATGGATGTGATAAAGCTGATTTTTTGCTGATGCAACTCCTACAGTTGGTGCAATATCAGTGTGTATATCTGACCTGTCGAGGATGTTTGGGAATGCAGGCTTGGCTGTAAATGTGTCTGAGAGGCTGAAGAATCTCTGTTCCTCCAAGATCATCCCCCATTTTCTCAACCTTTTTCAGAGCCTCCTCCATGGTCTTCTCACTGTACTCCACACTCGTACTGCCATTAAGAACAATACAATACTCCAAATAAAAAATTCATACTGAACAAAATAAAAAGAAACAAGAAACAACACTTTCACATGAACTCTTGAGTAGAAATTAAGGAAAGTTAGGGACTAGAAAATGTTTCCTCTTTTGAGTTGTGGTGGGTAAAAGAAAGAGTTAGATTTCACTTACGGGAAAATGTGCTCAAAGGTGGATCCAAAACTGTAGATGTTGAAGTAGCAGCCCATTGGTAAACTCTTCAACAGGAGCAGCAGAGTGTCCTAAAGAAAGACAAAATGTTAGGAGCTGTAAGCGTTTCTTTACATTTTACATCAGGAGTGCCAATTACTTTATGACAAAGATTATGGCAGGTCATACTCTCCAACAATGAACTTTAATAAAGAAGGTCTGAACAGAGAAAGCAACTTGGATAAAAGTCAATAATACCAAGTGACTAAATTGCTAGATTTCTGGATTTGACAATGGTATGCAGTCTGATAACATTTTTGAGACAATTGTTTCAGTGTAGCAAAAGTCTGATTTTGTTCTTACCCTTCTTGGATAAGCATTTAAATTGAAACATTATTTTGATTAGTCAAACCTAAGACATATTCAGTATTAAATAAAATGAACAGTCATCAACTCTACACAGAAATGTATGTCCCTCATGGACCAGATGAATTGCATTTAAGTGCTTTTGGGGTGACTGTTAAAGGGTTAAAACAAAATCAAACATTCCTTTAAAGTATGGATAAACACCTTTGCACTGCTAATGCGAGTTTCTTGTGGTGTGCTGTTATTCATGGGGCAGTCCATACTTCCTGATCGATCCACCAAGAACACAAACTCTCCACAGGCAGCGAGTGAGGACATCACTGATTGGGGGAACTCTGGGTAAAGGCTGACCATCACCACTGGATCACCCATCAGAGAGCCTGGAACATGTTGGAGATGGAAAAAGGAAAAAAAAATATATAAACCTTCTGATACTCTAACATTTAATAATCAGTAACGCCTAAACTAATCTGTTCTCACCAGGTTTGGCAGAGGCCTGTCCTGCCTCCACCACAGCAGAGGGCTGGTGGGCGTCTTTGTAATAAATCAGTAGCTCAACGTCTCTGTCAAACTTGTGTCCTGCACCCAATTTAACCTACAGTTGAAAACAAGAAACAAGAAAACTGAAGTGATTTATCTTGTTTGTAATAACTACATCCAGCAGTAACATCAGCTCTCTACCCACCGTGGCCTGAGTTTGATCAGCGTTGAGGTACTGAAGAGGCTCCAGAGAACAACTGGACTCTATTTTAGAGATTGGACGAGGAGAGGAGACCTGGGCAGAAAAGGACAGACTGTAGGGCACCAGAGAGGCTGGAACTGAGGTCACCTGGACACTGGGACCTTCACTACCTGGAAACAACATGAGAGAAAAATGGGAGTCACTTAGTTTGTAATTAAAATGTATATGAGTGCATCCATCTCTTGGCTGGTTTTCCTACCCTGAGGTTGGTATCGAGGGTTGAGCACAGCAAGCATACAGAACCTCAGCCCATCATCAGCCTGCACAGCCAGTTCAGTGACGTACTCCAGCCTGATGGAGGCGCTCTCTCCTGGAGGCAGACTGCCCACTTTCAGAGAGAAGATATCTGGACTCTCATCACTCTCCTCCAACAGGAAGGCTTGCTGACCGGAGCTCAGAGCATCATCATACTCCTCCTGAGCCTGCAGTCCACATGAAGCATGTCAGCAATGTTCACTTTACTGTGTTTTAGCTTCTTTATAGAGAAGACATCTTTGTTCCAGCTCACCTGCTGTTTCTCCTTCACCTCAGCTACAATGTGTGTTTCTCCAATCTGAGCACTGAAATGACACACAGCAGCATCTCCAGGCAGAGGGAAGACAAAAACGGTCTCCAGAGGTTTGTCCTCCTTGTTCTCGAAGTTAAGAGTGGAGACCAGAGTAGCTACATGGTCCTTCACCTCCAGCTGAGCATCAATGCTCTTCAGAGGAACTAAAGCAGCAAAACAAAGACATGATTGAACCATAGAAATATATCTTATTACACTTCACAGTTTCTGTGCTTAAAAGACTTTCTGAGAAGAAACCAAGTGTAGTTTGCTTTCAAACAGCTGAGTACCTGGTTCCTTCTTTTCAGTGAGCAGACCACAGCAGTTCATCATTGTTCCTGGGAGGCAGACAACTTTGGGGGGAAATGGGTTAAAAAGCTTTAAAGTAGGCAGCTACTTTTTGTGATAACACAAGCTAACAAAGAAAACATTTACAATTAATCAGGAAAAACTTAAACTTATAAAGGGGGCATGACAGTGAATTAAGTATTGCATTTAAAAATCAGATTGAATTACTTTAAATAAATTAATCTTTTAAATGGTTGTGTTTTGTGGTACATGGAAGTATATGTTGAGATAGATATACGTTATCATCTTTACACTTATATACCACATTATGGCATGGGAACATCAAAAAGCGCCGCATAGTAGGATTGACAAGCAATTTCATTGCTAACTTCACAGTAAAGATCGTGGAACCAGTGGCGGAACAAGTCGGCATCGCGGCTAATAACCGGGCCTTTTATACCCAAAATAACAAAGCTCCTGAAAACATAATTTTATAAAATACCAATAAAAGTCACTCATATTTGACGTACAAATGCTCCAATCTATCTAGTTTGCAATCCATTCCTAAGTATCTGACTGATGATGACGTTGTGGATGGTTGGCGATGTGTTTTACCCAGAATACACTTGGAGACAATATCAGCGATCATGTTGTAAATGTGTATGTCATAAAGTTAAATGTAAGAATGAAAATTAAGCCAGTCATGTAGCACAACATTTTATTCAATATTTTACAACCACCATGTCACTAAAATCATTCGGTCTTGTAAAGTTATTAGCAACCATGAGTCAACAATGACTGGGGCAGCCTACTATATAATCTACTGGGGGACCATTCTGTTTTTTTTATAATCTACATACACCATACTCAACAGGAAAGGGCCCACCTTCTCCAGCTCTCATCAGATGTGATACAGACTTGGATCTCTGAATTCATATTCTGCCTATCATCCGGTCCCCCTAGGCCCGGGCCGGGGGGGCCGCCGCCCCCCACCCCACCCATAGCTCCGCACCTGCATGGAACTGCGGCATTTTTACTTTGGGGTGTGTCACACCACAAGCATCTCATAGAGCTCAGAAATTAGATTAATTTTGCGAAGTTAAACAACTGAAACAGATTTTAAGTGAGCAAAAATTTATAGTAAAGTTTTCTTAATTTGTTTGAGACATTGACCCTATCTAGATGTAGCTACCAAAATAAATATTTTTATTTTAAAATAGTCAGTTAAAAATCTTATCAAGAAAACGTACAAAGTTCAACCGGGTGTGTCAAAAGGTGGGCTTGACTGCATGCAAACCAAGTAACGTGGAAGACTTTCTTAGAAATGCGATGACTCCATTGGATTTGCTTTTACGCCAAATCATAGCTGTTTTTGTTTGTGTTGGTCTAAGTGCTAGCAAGTGCGTCAGCTCAAATAAACTCAGAAAAGAAGAGAAGAAAGCTTACCAGTGAGGACAGACCCTTCTCACGGAGAAATGCAGAATTTACTGCGCGTTATCTGAAGAGCTTCTGCTCAAACAAAACCAAAGCAGCTGTTCCTCTACCGGAAACGCTTGTTTTCCTCATGAGAGCGCACCGGGTGGGTGGAGCATTGACGGTGAAGCCCAGCCTCTTGCGTACGTAGCCTATTTGCTTACAGTCTCTGCTGGTCCATTTTAAAATGAATATGTTTTCATTTTGAGCAAATTTATTTTTTAGCTGTAACGTTTTTATTTCCTTACTCTTCATCAAACCGCACCTCTTTCCCTTTTAGTGTGTCATGGACAGCAACAACCGATTCACATGAAATGACAAAGCATTCTAAATTATCTGATAACTATTATAAGTTAAAGTAAAGCATTGGAATTGAGCTCATGTTTTAGTTTTAAAGACTGTACTTCTAAAGTTCTTCAGGTTTTGTTTTTGAATGGAAAACCTTTCTATCTTTTTAAAAACCTTCCTTGAGTTGGCAAAACACACAAGAATTTCAAGGTGCTTTTATTGCTTATCTGTGCAAATGGCAATAAATTCTATCCTCTCCATCAGTTTTAATAAAATCTTCTTCAATCAATTGTATCAAGAGGCAGAAATATTGTGACATATATGACTGACTGTACTTTTTATTTATTTATTTAGCATATCCTTAAAAATGGCAATGGCATTTTTTGTAATTAATGTAGTTATTTATATATTTGATAAGTACAAAGTTGCATTTCAAAGCAGCATGTCCATGTGAGAAAAGATCATTTATTTTCCTCTTCAGAATAAAAGTGTTAATTACTGCTGATCTACATCATGATTGGTAGCATATACATAAGCTGGCTGCAAAACAACATTTAAATGTATTTAGTCGCATTGTTGTTTTTTATTTTATTTTAACACTTTCTATGTTGTTTAGACATTTTTAGCCAAAATTAAGGAGTTTTCTTCAATGTATAGTTTTACATAGTAATCACACTGCTGAAGTTTAAGTTGAAAAGAGAAACTATTGCTATTTTAGGTGTTCAAAATTTAGTTTCTGTATTTTTGTTCAGACTCTATAATCTGACAAAAACTTGAGTCAAGCTTTTGTGTGAGTCACTTCACAAAGTTTTATTGCTTAACCACTGTTTCTGAGAAGTTCTTATATGTGTTGCAACCAAATACCAGTCCAGAGTGATTGGAATATATTCAATAGTTCCTCTACACTTTTTTGCATGTGTTAGTTTTTTTTTTCTTTTTAGATCAAGGCCCAGGGATATGGATGACCATGCCACAATCTTATTTTTTCAATTTTACTTATTGGTGTGTTTGGGGGCTGTTGTTTTGTTGAAACACTAATTTTAACAGAATTGCATCATGAAGTAGCATGACTTCTGCAATTATTTGGATGTATTCAAACCAATCCATGACGCCTGGGGAGCGATCAATAGATCTGATGCCATAGTATGAAAGACACGAACGACCTGCTTTAGTGTCCTCAGAGTTTGCTGTGACTTGTATTCGGTGTTTGTGAGTCATAAGGGAAATATTCTAAATCAGAAAATTAAACAATTTTGTTTTTGTCAGCCTGTAAAGCATTGCACCATTTTTCTCTGTAAGCCAGCCAGTCTGTTCTTTGGCAATTTGTAACTTGTTGTTCCGTTTTTTCCCCCCCAACAATGAGACTTTGGGGATAGGCTTTTTACTGGTGGATTCTAATTCACAACAGCAACCTGTAACTTTCTAAAGTGAATTTGAAACTTACATTACCTTTATTTTATTTCTTTTTACCCGATGAGCACCATGTATTTGTCTTGACTACATAATTCAATGTTTTTATTATAAGAATTATCTGTACTATATAATCTTATGCTGTGACAAAACAGGTTACTATGACGAAACTTACCAGGTAGATTGCAATAAACAAGTTATCTTCATAAACCTGGGTCACCAGTGATTATTCCACAACTGTCAGTAAATCCATTAGTAAGTGATTTTGAGAATCACTTAAGAATAGCGGAAACATTTTGCTGGTCTCTTTTTCATTTTTCTTATTTATTACATGAACATTGTTTCATTAAAACTGGTTAAAATGCATATGCACAAGAAGTTGTATTTAAAATGTATTTATGTGTTACTCCTGGTTTCCTTTTCATGCAAACAATGTTGTTGCAAAAACAAAGTGAAGTCATAAGCTTGTAGAAACAGACTAAATCTGCTTTTAGATCATCATCAACTTTCATATGGAAAACCTCAGAGCCCCAGAGCTTCTTTCTTCACACTGCAACCCAACAATGTATTTCCAGCTTCAGCACACTCTGACACAGATGGAGCTGAAAGGGAAAAAAAACGGGATGAAAGCATTCATTCGATAACTTTCTGTTTTTAACACACACTGTTGAAATGTGCATTACCGTTCTGAGCTTTAATCCATGATGCAGCCTTCATAGACAGAAGCTCCCACTCCTCTTTAGCATCCATTTTAAAACCATGAAGCCAAATCAGAGCCAGAATGGAGGCCCACACTTCATCGCAGACCTAATTAACAGAAATGACAAACACAAAACAAGATCATGCCAAGTGTTGCTTGATGGATTGCAAGTTCTTCCAGGTATTTTATTAAATCCCATTATTATCACTTAATTTTATTATTCTTTATTACTGTGCAAAAAAAAAAAAAAAAAGATACTTATGTTACTCTGTATTTTGCTGACTATTTTCAGTTTGGTGGTTAGTTTATTAAATCTCACATCATGATGTCTATTAAAGAATTTTAGTTTCATATGCTTGTTTAGTTGATTAACTCCACATTAACTCTCTGTTTACAGCTCAACATTAAAACATGTTGGTCGACTCGGTAGCCTCACAGGTACAAGGTTCTCGGTTCAAATCCCTGAACTTTCTGTGCAGAGTTTCTGTGTTCTACATGAGGATTCTCTCTCTTGATACTCCAACATCTCCCACAATGCAAATACGTACGTGGATGATGGTAAGATAAATGGCCTATAAGTTATCTGGTGTGAGTGAATGACTGCAAGTTTGTGTTTCCTGCATTTCACCCATTATCTCTGCAAATTATCATAGATTTCCGAACTTGCAACCATAAATGCTAAGTAAACTTTAAAAATGTACGGACAGACTGAAGATTATTTGTACTACCTTTAATTTTACTTCCACTTTTCTTCATGTAGGAATTCTTAAAATAAAATGCATATTATGTTAAATATTAGTTTAGAACCCACCGACTGTGGTTTTGCCTTTTCCACCTCCTCTTTGGTCTTTCCCAGCACAGTAGCCAGATTTGCATTAAGCTTCCAGCAGCCAGATGCCTTCTGCAGGGACACCAGCTGCAGCAGTGGGTCTTGACTGAGTAGCACAACTTCTGGCTCACTGGATTCTTCATCAGAGTCGTCTTGTAGCCCATCTAGAGGCAAGCCGGTTGTGGCAAAAAGAAAGTGTGATACAAGTCTTGACTGGTGGTGGTTAATGAAACTCAAGCTATTTTTATTACAGTAAATTCCACTCACAATAAGTAATTATCAAAACAAATAATTTTAATACTGTTGCCGAACATTGTACTAACACAAGCAGTTAGTATTTCAGCAACTAAAATACACACTGTACATCAAAACATAGACATGAGGATGGTGAAAATCTACCCAACAGGCCAAATATATTACAGGCATGTGGAATTTGCATGAATGGCACCTAAAAAAAACTAATACTCTGCCAAATGCTGCATTATTTGTTATTGTGAAAATACACATATTGAAATTGCAATGACTTTTAACCTTGTTTGTTCTTGTTTACAGCCTAACTTATCCCACATGATTTGACTCTCACATACTCTTATTCAGCATGTTCTGGAATAAGATGCGTGGTATCCACTCTGAAATGCTGCTCTCATCATTTATTTCGGACTTACACATGGATCATATTACATCAGCTGTTAAATCACTGCACTGGTTTCCTATTTTGTCGAAGGAAGGATTTACAATCTTAATGGTTGTGACCCTAAATACGTTAGAGTTGCTGGTCAGCTATAACTCCTCCGCACCTCCATGTGTCTCCCTGCAACCATGGTTAGCATAGCTGGTATAGAAAGTGGATGAATAAGAACACTTACATGAATCTGGGAAGACTTGAAGAAACTCAGTTTCATCAGCAGATTCATCAGCAGAATCATCATCACAAACAAAATCCATGATTGCTGAAGAAAAATTCAAGCTGAGCATTACAGGTAGACCTCTTTAAAAAAAACAACAACAAAAACAATAGCAACAAACAGCAGCATATAAGTAAATATCCCTGAAAGCATCAGTTCATAAAGCCATATACCAGAAAATAGGGTGTTTACAAAAGAAATCTTTCATTACACACTATATAGATGTTACTACCTTACAAATGAAATGTCATATTTTTAACACAAAATTCAGTGCCTTAATACCATCAGTAGACTGATAGACTGTGAATTTATATTGGTTTTATACTCTGTGCAGAGCAAAGTGACAAATTACATCTATAACTAAAGAAGTGGCGCCAAACCCCCTTTCGGACAGTCCTGTGAGCAAACATAATAAAGCTGGTATAGACAATGGATGAATAATGCACTTACATGAATCTAGCATGTCTTCAGTGTTTAAATCACCCAGATCTTTGTCAGAAGAATCATTGGAAGGATTCCACGCAATTGCTGAAGAAATAAAATAAATGGATCATTAGAGGTAATCAGACAATCAAACAAGAATATAAGTAAATCTCCATGTATGCATCATTTTATTAAGTTATACACCAGAAAGTAGAGTCTCAGAAAGTTGACTTCCAAATCATGACCGAAAACATTACTCTTTACTGCAGCTTATGTGGGTTTTTCACAGGTATTCCCGGTTCCTTTCATAGCCTAAAAATATGACAGGTTGATTACTTTCTCTAAATTGCCCCCTAGGTATAAGCATATATGCTTGGATGGTTGACTGTCCATTGTGTCTCTGCGGTGTTCTGTGATTCACTGGTGACCCCACTGACACCCAATGATAGTCGCCAGCCCCCCATATGTCCATGCATGGAAAAACTGGTGTAAACAATGGTTGAATAAATGTGGCTATAAAAGTACACTTACCAGTCTCTGGCAATGCTCCACAATAATCTTGGAAAGAATCCATGCTTACTGAAGAAAAAAGTCAAACGAGCATTAGAGGTAGATGTTCAAGAAAAAAAAATCAGTGTACAAGTAAATCTCATTCTATGCAACAATTCATGAAGACATACAAAAGAGTCTTTTCCAATAAAAAAAAAAATCAGAAATTAAATTTCTTGAAAAAATGAAAATGATCACAGCTAGTCAGCTGAGAGTGCTCTTTAAATTTATCATACTTTAAATTCAGTTTGACAGCATAGGAACAGCATAAGTTTAATTTATTTAGAATTCCTCTTAACATTTGAACTTAAATCAATTTTCATGGCCATTTATGATAATTCATACAAAAAGATTAAGAATGGGAGATTTTATATCACAACTGGTTTCATTCATTGTTACAGTATCTCTATTAAAACTTGTCATGCATCCTAGTAATCTGAATGGTCACCTGTCCAAGGTGTTCCCCACTCTAACCCAATGACCATTCACTACCCAATGACTGCTGGAGGTAGGTGTTAACCTCACCTATCCTTTAGACCAGCAAATCTGGTATAAAGAATGGATGAATAATACACTTACATGAATCTGGCATGACTGATCCATAATTTGTTTCTTCATTTGTGACACCTGAAGAAAAAACAAACGGAGCATTAGAGATAGACAATCAGGCAATCGAAAGCAAAACAGAGAAACAACACACAAGTACGTCTCCCTGCATGCATCAGGTCATAAAGCCATACACCTGAGAGTATGGTCTTTTTTTCCATTGAAAAAATAATCATCTGAAACTAAGCCAAAAATGAAAATGACATCCACCTCGAGATTACCTAGCACTCAGAGTAATTTCACACCTGACTCGGTTTGATCGGAGACCAAAACTGCAACATTTGTTACATTTTGTGTCAAGCAAACCAAAGTCTTTGAAAAACTTGTTTCTCCCTTTACCTGTTGTGGCGTTGCACCAAGAAGCTGACATAAAAGTTGCTAAGTTTACTGAAAATATTAAACATATATATATATATTACCAAAACAGGAAAAAAAACAGACCATTCAAATATTTTCTGAGACATCTGGGTCCTGAACTTTGATTTTACCCTTGCCAAAAAAAGCTATATGGGCATTTCACTATTAATGTGCTCAAAGATAATTCAGTAAAGCTTTTTCAGAAACCAATATACAGGTGCTGGTCATAAAATTAGAATATTGTGATAAAGTTCATTATTTTCCATAATGTCATGATAAAAATTAAATTGNGTTCGTCTTGTAATTGTTGTGTACGAGGGCGGGACTTGTTCTGGGGGCTGGTTGGAGCTAGTGCTAGCGGGCCTGTGCACGTGTGTGTGTGAGCTAGCTGAGGAGCTAGCTGACGGACAGCAGAGTTCATTTGAGCTTGTGTTTGGCACTTTTTGGGAGAGTTCTCACTCAAGGGACATTGTTCTGGTTTCTCTATTTTATAGATGTGATGTTGTTTTTTGTGGGTTTGTTGAAAAACCTGATAAATCATATCTTTGTGTGAGGCTGAGTGCCGAGGCACAGTGTTGAAGAGGCATTGCGCCTTTTTTTCAGTTTATATTGAAAGTGATTGCTTGGTTTAAAGTTATATTAGTCATTTCTGACGTAATGAAGTTAATAGTTCTCTACTGAAGCATGTTGTATATGAAGTGTGTTTATAACACACAAGAAGAATAAATCTTCCAGTTGAATGAGAAGGAAGCTCAACGTGTGTCTCGTCATTCCCATTCCACAGCATCACACGTTGAGGGAAGATCTAATACATTACCCTCAGCCATCCAAGGTTGCAGGGTAACACATACTTTAACCATCCAACAAATTGCTTTGCACAGAAGTGCTTCGGTACAGGGAGACTGAATTTGAACAAAAGATGAAGGGAGAGACCAGTGGCAGGCTGAGGAAAGAGAGCTTGTAGGATCTCTCTTGGTATAGGGGCTGAGAGAGATCACACAGGGGACTAGAAAATAAATCTAACACTAAAGAATAACTAAAAACCAATTAACCTAGAGTAACAACAAATAACTAGACAAGAAATAAACATATAAGATCAAATCACAAAGAAAGGACTGCACCAAAGAAAATCAAAAACACGGCTGATCTAATCAAGGAAAAGGATCTAAAGAACACAGAAATTAACAAAACCCAAAATTTGAATTAAGCTAAAGAGCTAAAATAATGTCCTATGCTACACCTGCTTGAAAATATTTCCAAAAGCAAAATAAAGTTATATTGCTTTTCTTAATATCTGGTTATGTGTAATTATTAGCATGTCTTCCAGTTTGAAACACAATTTATAATGATGCATATTGGTCAAACATCTAACCCTAATATGCTAAAGTATCTCAGGGGTTACATATATTTAAAAAATGGCTAAATAACACCACAAACACATTTTTCTTCATTACAATGTATAAAAAAAATGTCCTAATTACTTTTAGGAATATATATTGTTATATTATTTACTGAAAATGAATATGACACAAATATGATTACTTACCCTCCAGGATGCTGGTTCTGGTGACTGGCATCTGAGACTGGTGACCAATACGTTTTCTGATCAGTCTGAAGAATCGACCGAAGACACTCTGAACCGAATTATGTGATCTAGGAGCTGACATCAGACAAGGCATTTGATAAAATGTTAAATTTATGAAAATCCTTTTGCACATTGCTTGACATGGTTGTCTTTCTCTGAGCTTAAATCTTTGTGTGTCTTAAATCAGACACTCTACGTTTGAAAATTGTTTCATGTGTTGTTCTTACACGGTTCTCTCAGTTCTCCTATCAGACTACAGCGATCCATCATGACACCTGTGCCACAAGAAGCTTGATGATGTTTTGCTGCAGGAATAAATCTCACTACTGGAAAATAAGTAGGAAAAAACTGCATATGATTAGACACGCATCATAGTAAATACTTTCTTTTATGAATTTAGTTCTGATGAGGATGAAAACTTGTGAGACGTGAGTGCAGTGAGAGAACAGAAATTAAATCTACCCTGTTACAATGTCAAGAACCACAACTTCCCACTAAGAGAAACAAACAATGATCTTTTTTCACCTTTGTATCTCAAGCATATGCTACAGAATCAAATCTATTTTGCATTACATGACAACAGCCTCTACTGTTGCATCTTGAACCAGATACCCTAATTGTCAAATAAGAGAAAAAAAGGAGACATACACAGAAACTATTCCTACCTGAAAGTACGAGTTACCAAACAGAATAAGAGAATACCCTCTCTTTTTTCTTTATTAACTTATAGCAGATGGGTGGAGCTTGAGGTTTGACCTGTGTTTAAACCAATGATCAAAGCGAGTTCATGTCAGTTTCCTTTTTCATAAACTGTTTCATCTAGGCCTGCACTCTTCCTGTCAGATACGTGTTTCACGACAAACCTTTAAATATCAGATATGCACTTTCCCCCCCAATTTTCAAGGGAGCTGCAGAATTTATGTGGCCTATCGTTAGTAAACTTTTTGTCAGCTTCGCTAGGAGCTTGGAAAACTTTTTTAGCCCACAAAACAACCAATACAATATAATCCCTGCGATGCATGTAATCACATGCAAATTATGTCTTTGGTCAAAAATGACTGCTGAGGCTCTGTGTCTAAATTCACCTTGAAATGTCTATATTTCAAGGTGAATACTAGAAATATAAAACTGACTTTTCTTAACAAAAGAAAAGTCAGGTTCTGTCGTTAATTTTAGTCCACCTGCAATGAATGCACAATTAATTAAACATCACTTCACTGAGAATAGGAAAGACAGGAGAGCGTAGTGACTTTGAATGTAGCATTGTTGAAGCTATGAAATGGAGAAAATATTCAGTGACTTTGTTGTGCATAATTTAGGCAATCAGACGTGCAAATTAAAGTCTGCTGGGTGAGATCAATCTATTACTGTATATTACTCACAAACATGAAGAAAACACAAACTCACAAACAAGAAAACCTCAGAGCCACAGTGTTTCTCTGCACTCTGCAACCCAACAGTGTGCTTCCTGCTTCAAAGCGCTCTGACACACAGAGTTTGTTACAAAAGCTGTTGCAATCACAGAACAATTGCTGGGAAGGTGGCTGAATTTATGACAACAGGCATTCACATGAATAACTTCCCATTTCTTAATGTTTACTAAAAGGTAAAGATTATAAAACTAAAACTAAGAAGCATAAACACATTCACACTTCTCTATTGCTCCTTAGTTATAGGATGAGGCATCATGTTTTTTAAGTTATCAGCTTTAAAATGTATTGTTTTTACTTCTTTTTTAATGTAATTATTACACATGCATAATAAAAAACAGACTGAGGGAGTTAGCTCCTGTTGGAAAGTCGTTTGTTTCTCCAAACTGTTTGTCATTTCATATTCCTAGCGGGGTATTGAAAACCAAGATCTTCATGCAACCCCATTTCAAAAACCTTTAGAAGTCTGTTTTCCCTTTGTTGTTGGAAGATGTAAGAGTTTATGGGAAGCAAAGTCACAAGAGTTACCAAAGCCAGAAGAAAGTTAGGAACCAAGATATCAAAAGTAAATCAGACAAACAGAGGGATAAGAAATAAAAAGTTTTACTTTAATTCAAGTAATTTCAGTGGAAATACTGGACATTCCATTATAAATCAAAGCGTTAGGAAAATATATGTTTTGTATAGTAATCTCAATGCCGAAATTGAGGAAAAAAGAAACGCTAGCTATTTTGAGTGTTCAAAGATGAGTTTATTTTTTGTACAGACTCTGTATAATATGAAAACTGGTTGAGTCAAGCTTTCATGGGAATCACTGCGCAAATGGTTAATTGCATAACCATATTTCTGAGAAGTTCTGCTCATTTGTGTTGTGACATGTCAGCTGATTAAACACCTCTATGCCAAGGAGCACTAAAGAAGTAATTCATGCAAGAGGAGGCCCTGCAGTACTGAGTCACTGAAATGGTATTGAGAAACCTGATATTTGTGCTTAAGACATTTGTTTTGGATTAGTCTAAAGGTCTAATGTGATATTCTAATTTTCTGAGACATTAATTTGGGGATTTCTTTAACTCTAAACCATAATCATAAAAATGCAACAAATTAAAACTTAAAATACTTCACTTCTGATACATCTGTAAAGAAATATTCCGTGTTTTTAGATGCAGTAGTACAATCAGCAAGGAGATAATTTGCAGCCTCCACCTTTAAATATATTTATCTCATGCTTGTTCACAGTATCAGTAACCTCATTGACTCAGCAGGATACCTGGAATGACTTATGGGTGTGTTGGGTTTCTAGTACACTATTAAGCTTCTAATAGTGTACTAGAAGTTAATTATTTGTCTTATAGAAATAGAATTTTTGTCAAAGGTGTGTTGGATCTGATTAGTTATGTTTGACTGCTATTATCGTGACCAGAACCACACATACAAATATACATATAAATACCACTAAGCAGAGCTGGGTACTTATTCATGTTGGGTCGAAGGTTACATAGAGAAAAAACAACAAATAGTAACTGACAATTTGTTTAGAAAATGTTACCTGAACATAGTTTGAAAAAATAACTGTTTTACTAATATACAGCAGAAAAGTCAAGGAAAGCTGGGACTTAGTTTTCCAAATTTATTTTAAATGGAACATTTTCGTGTAAAATATCATCTTAAAATACCATGTTTAAGGAAGCATTCACTCAAAATCTGATTCATTCATATCAGTAAAAACAAGATCAGGTAGAAAAGAAATGTTCCTCGTTCTGATATTGAAAACCGGGAAACATGGAAACTCTTAGATTCCCAGATCCTCTTTTCGCACACTGCTGTCCAGCAGTGTATTTCCAGCTGCAACACACTCTGGCACACGTGAAGCTGAAAGAAATCAGATAAATGAACTTGAGAAACTGCATAAATTTACAATAAATAAATACCAAAACAGCACTCTGAATACCGTTCTGATCATTGAGCCATGATGCAGCCTTCATAGACAGAAGCTCCCACTCTGCTTTTTTATCAGTCTTGAAGCTATGAAGCCAGATCAGAGCCAGAATCGTTGTCCATACTTCCTGTTTCACCTAATTATAATACAAAACAAAACTCATAAAAACTGAGCCACAAATCAAAGAGTATCACTGTGTAAAACAAGACATTGTTTGTTGTTCACACATGTGAATGTGCCCATGAATGGGTGAATGACACTTTGCTGTACAAGTACAGGCCATTTTGCAGTTTACTGGAAGTTACCTGGAAATTACCAGCAGTGACTGCCTCTTTTATGTCTGTAGTTCCAGTTAATCCCAAAATAAAATTTCCTGGGGCCTTATTTAATTTTATTGCAACTTTAGTTGATGAATTGAATATGTTTTTAAATGAGTCTGTATCATATTTTTTACATTCATTTGACAAAATCTACCTCTCCAGGCTTTGCCTTTTCCACCTCCTCTTTGGTCTTTCCCAGCACAGCAGCCAGATCTTCATCAAGCATCCAGCAGCCAGTAGCTTTCTGCAGGGACACCAGCTGCAGCAGAGGGTCTTTACGGGTATTCTTCTTTTCAACACGCTTTGAGTCTGAAAAAACATGTAACAGCTGTTTCTGATCCTTTTGATGCATGTTAAAATGTGTTGGCTTAATTTCAAAATCAGCTCATTGAAATCTCTATCAATTTTTGGAGGCTCAAAAATCATTCAGTCACTTCCTGAAATTTTCTTCTCTTAAAATATATTTTTTTTGCTTGTTGGTTTCTCAATTTTGTTTCCCAATTCAGTGTTGAAGGATATTATTAAAAATGATCCCTAAGGAACGGGAAATTTAGGTAGAACAGTCTGAAAAAGACTACTGTTTTAGAATTACTAAGAAGAAAAGCTAATCCATAAAAAAATCTAAGGCAATTTCTCTGCATTCTTATCTATTTTCATACTGGACCTGGCAAATGGTTTTAAAACGGGGTCTGGTTTAAGCATAAAACCACCAAAGATTGCAACGCAACTCATGTTTCATGTGGTTTCATGACTACACTGTGACGATAAAACTTAACCATGTATTGCATTGCTCAAATGTTTAATAAATCTTTACAAACCAAGACTGGAACATTACGAACATTTCTAAATAAAATCTGTGTATAAAAATACAAAATACAAAATCTTCCAGAAACAAAAGAAATAGAATTTTTTTTCTATTCATTATAAATGAGCTCTGGACCTCTTTTGATGTCAACTGTTACGGCCAGTGGCCGTGTCTGTTTTCTTTTCTTTCTTTTCTGTATATCTGCAGCTTCTAATCAAGTTGACTCCATTTGGAAGTGGATGCAGCCATGTACTCCCTGAGGCCTACAGCGATTGGCTCACCAATTGCCAGCTCCACCAATCCCTGAAGAGGACTCCCTTTTAAAACCCCAGACTGTTTCTTTGTTCAGACAGCTTGCTACTTTGTTGGGTGTTTGGGTGACATGGCTGTAAACTTGCTTTGTTAGCTCTAATAACTTTTGTTAGCTTTGATAGCTCGTGTAACTCACTTTGTCCCTGTGGGGGATCTTTGTATCTCGACTAGAGATTTGTAGTTTGTTTTTGTTTAACCTGTACTGAAAGTCCATTTTTGTTTCGTTAAGATCTTTGGTTTACAACTCTGATTGTTTTGTGGATTTTGTT